TAGATATGGTATATCAAGGTTGTGGACCCTCTAGAGACCACAGTTTTTATCCAATTTGGATGAAACTTTAAATATATGTTTTTATCATTAAGATCTTGGTTCCTTTTGATAATTATTAACATTAGTGTTACTTTGCTCTTATTTTTTGAAAAAATTTTCACAAGTTGATTTCCTTTATTTTGTTAATGTAGAATGGTAACGAACTGCTCTTTTCATTTTCTTTGTTTTATTTGTTTCGTTTGAATTTGATTTATCTGTTTAGTTTTTGATTGTTTAATTTTTGTTTATGAAGTTGATTCTTTTAAACTTCGTTTTTATTTTTGAACTCTACTTGGTGTAGGTGTTCATCAGGTAATACCTCGACTGAGTTCAATATTGAGATTAGCCGGTTGATTTGTTGGATATAAACCTTTGAATAATAGCGCCTAACAGGCAGCTGTGTTTAATTATGTTCTCCTGATTTCGATTGTTTCTGTGTGTTTGAAGTATATGTTTGGGATATGCGCTGAGAAACACTTCACGTGTAATGAAGCGCTATATAAATCGAACAATAATAATAATAATAATAATAATGACTGGCACCAATATTGTCCTTTAATTGTCCATGAAGTGACGTGCAGTTGTGCACTTTGGCGGGAAAACAGTCCTGTAAATAATAATTGAATTTGGCGCCCTACGGCAGTTAGAATCTGCTCCTGCACGCCAAAAAGACCAGTTTTCATCTGGAAATATAACCAATTGTTATTGAATCAGTATGTACACGTTGTCATGTTTCAGGCCTCAAAATTCATGGGAGGGGGTATTAAGTAGTGAGCTTGAATATGGTTGCGAGAAATTAGGTACAAGCATGCATGCGCATTTGCATGTGCTTTTACATATATTTTTATAATATAATTTTAGCTCACTGTACACCAGTTGATTGCGGGAATTTAAAATGTGAATTTGGTTTTGATTCTGATTCAAATGGTTGTGATGTTTGTAAATGTAGAACAAGTAAGCACCCCATCCTGCTAGGCTATGATAGCATGAATAAAGAAGATTTTTTAAAAACGATTTTGGTATTATAATGTACTAGCATTACGTAGTATTACATTGTAATAATCATCCAATATCTGTTCCGAAAACATATCAAAGTCATTTTTTTTATTAAAATGCTATTCTTAAATTAAAATCTACATGTACATTGAAAACTGATATGAAATGAAATGAAATAGGGTTTAACGTCCTACTGTTCTGCTCCTATACTGGGCTAATGAAGACGGGCATATGAGGGAAATTTTGCCCGGGCAGCGGCACTATCGCCTACTCTTATATCGAATTACAACTCAATAATCACAAGATATATAATATACTTAGTAGTAATAAATGTATTACATCTTTTACAGCTAAAAAATGTGGACCAACAGATGTAAGTATCGATTTGTAGAACATTGCATAAGATAGGTTGCCAGGCAATGAAACATACGCCCACAGTAGCTAAATCGTATGAGCGGTCGGCAAGGGTTATTGCATATTTATTCTTTGGTGGGTAATTGGGGGCATTTGCAATACAATTTCATACAGATCAGATTATAATTTTTCTCGTTTGAGGGTTCACAAGGTTCTACAAATTGAAACAAGGGCCTTAACTCTGGAAGTAATTTATAGAAAATTTTGAAATTTGATATAAATTTCATACACACCGGATGTTAACTTTTGTTATTCGAACGTTCACAAGGTTCACAAAGTAAAACAAGGGCCATAACTCTAGAAATAATTGACGGAAATTGCTGAAATTCAATGATGCATATTAATTTCATACATATCTGATGATAAATTTCAGCAATCGAGCATTAACAAGGTTGAACAAAGCGAAACAAGGGCCATAACTCGAGAAGTAATTATTGTAAATTGCTGAAATTCAATAGGCTTCGTGGTTTCACTAATCTAAATGATGCATATACATTTCATACAGATCGGCTTATAACTTTAGGCGTTCACAAGGTTCAACAAAGTGAAACAAGGGCCATAACTCTAGAGGTAATTAACAGAAATTGCTGAGATACGATAGGCTTCTTCGTTTCACTAATTCAAATAATGCATATAAATTTCACAAAGATCGGATGGTGTTGCGTTCACATGGTTCAACAAGTGAAACAAAGTCCATAACTCTAGACGTAATAAACGGAAATTGCTGAAATTCAATAGAATTCTTCTTTTTACTAATTTAAATGACACATAAATTTCATACAGATCGGCAGATAACTTTAGATGTTAGAGCGTTCACATGGTGCAACAGAGTGAAACAACGGCCATAAGTCATAAACGGAAATTGCGGAAATTCAATAGGATTCTTCTTTTTACTAATTTAAATGACGCATATCAATTTCATACAGATCGGCAGATCATTTTTGATCTTAGAGCGTTCACAAGGTACAACAAAGTGAAACAATGGCCATAACTCTAGAAGTAATAAACGGAAATTGCTAAAATTCAATAGGATTCTGTGGTTCCCGAATTTAAATGTTGCATATAAATTTCACAAAGATAGTATGTTAACTTTTGGCATTAGAATGTTTACAAGGTTCAACAAAGTGAACTGAAATTAAATAGGTTTCTCCATCTCACTAATATAAACAACATAAACAATTAGATGATAACTTTGGGTGTTAGAGCGTTCACAAGAAATTGTGGACGACCGACCGGGAGAGGGGGGGGGAGGGGGATTCGACGGCAATATACGTCCACATTTCCACGAATGTAGTGCGAGTTATAAATAGACAATTTTTCCCTTAATTTTTTTTCCCCTCCTCCTGCATTTTTGGGTTGACTTTTTGGTCTAGAATTGGAGAAAGGGGATTAAATTTGCAATTTCATAGCAGTTTTGGGTAATACTGATGATATTACAGCGGAGGGATAGGAAGTGTAAAGTGTCTTTCTACAGAGCAATCATTGTGTTGGAAGTGAGATTTTCACCCCAGTCAACTTAAAATCCCTGTAGTAAAAAATCTAAACGGTCAACCCCCTACAAAATTATGATGAGGAGATTGCCAAATGTGGCCCCCATTGGAACCAACGGAATCTTGAGCAAAGAGCTACAGCCTGTGATGTTACAGCCATTTAACATTGATGTCAATGGGCAAATAATTGCTAGTCTGAGACCATATCGGATCGTAACTTCCTGAATTATGGCCCTTGATTGTACAAAAAAATCACTTTTTGTTTAGCTTGTTCTCAATCCATCTCTTGCAAAATGTGGGTGTATCTTGCTTGTCAACTGCTAGTTCTATATATACAACTGGCGGTAGTTTTTACTTTGATGTCCATAGCAGTTATATCTCATAACAACCTGTCATGACATCATCATAGGTTGATATATTCGTTCATATCAACCGCTGATGACGTCATGACAGGTTGCTATTTCATATCAACCGCTAAAGACGTCATCTCAGGTCAATATATTTGGCTCATATCAACCGCTGATGACGTAGATGATCGAAATAATACAAAAAAAACACAGAAATAAATTTTTATTCTTTTGACAATTAAAATTTGTTATGGTACAGTTTCTAACATTCAGGACCGAATAGACGGCGTACTTATCGACATATGTATTTAGATGTTTATCCATGTCTAAGACATCTTTCAGAATTTTCTTTTCGTCCACATTGCGATTATTTCTCCACACACTAAAAGACTTGAAAGTATTTATCGCCCAAGAGTTCCTTTGTAAAGTATTTTTGGGTATAGTCCACTTAAAACAGTCGGTCAAATCCTTCTCTGAACATACCGAAAACCTTCAATCATGGTTCACTCACTGTCAGAATTCTTGGAAAAGAATGCCTTTTGGTCCAAATTTTCTGCAGGCTTTGGATAGATCCTCGTCGATATTTGCATTCACATCTATTCTATCGTCAATATGTTGGCTAAAAAGGATTGATTATTCGTCTGACTTCGTATTACTATCCATTTTGTTTTATGCACGCTACTGGATCTTGACCGATCTGTAGAATATCTGCCAGTGTTTATACCCACAATTCTAACCCTAACCCTTCAGAATAGTTTTAGCCACAATCCACCGTTGTTACAGCTTCAATTTGTACGTTTGACATGTAATTTATAAACCTAACCCTCAGAGAAGATATTCTCCAGATGACACAATGATCTAGAATTATTCTTGTTTTTGCTTTCAATTCAATAGTCGAAAATGGCGACGTATAAACAAAAACATGCACGTAATTGCACGTGATTACTTCGGTAACTTTCGCTATTTGGCGGAAACTATCGAGCAATTATCCAATCGTTGTTGCCTTTTAATGGAAGAGCCCATTAAATTTAAGGGTGAAATGGCGTTATATATGTCGGATATAAACCTACTCTCCCTCGGATTGATATGGTAGAGAACGCTTGGGCTTCGCCCGCGCGTTCTCTACCATATCAACCTCGGGTAGGTTAATATCCTATACTTATGTATAGGTTTTTCTTAGAATGGTGCTAATACATGTAATTGTTGATTTCTGATTTTAGCTTGCCTGCATGATTGAAAAGTTGAATAACCAGCTGGGTCAATAAAGTCACTCAATTATGTTATTTAATACTCAATTGTTTTCTTTTTTAAAAATGAAATATAGTTTAACATCTAACTGTTCTGCACCACCTGGGCTATGAAGATGGGGAATATGCCATACAGTGTGCTATGAGGGGAAATTTTGCTTGGAGAGTACTACGGCCTACTCTTATTTCAAATTCAAACTCTCAAGGATTCTTTTCCATGCAGACCAATGTGTACATGGGACCTCAGTTCAGGATGACTATACACTGTCCATTGCCAGGCCATCTGTCCTGCACCACTGACAAGGGGGGAACCACTCTGGAAAATCCTGATTAACTTTCTTGGTCGTCACTAGGTCTTACTCAATGAACCTTTGTCTTTTTCTACAATATAATTTTGAGGTGTACTTCTAGACTGATATCTTATAAATCTTTAATCCAAGAAATGATTTAAAAAATGCTAAATAGGATAACCCAATAAATCATCTTTATTATTTGAGATTAAAATATATATAGCTATATAAGTATATTATTGCTGTCTTATCAGTATAGAATATATAATTAAAGCTGAAGTAACAGGAAAATAAAACCCAGCAGTTTATATCAATAAATATACAAAAATCAATTATTGCATAAAGTCATCACCAAATATTAAAATAATCACATCCATATTCATGTTAAAGTGTGGTACTATAGGAAATATATTTTCAGTTGAAAAAAAAATTAGAATGGTTTGCATAAATATATTTCTTGATTTACAAAATGGTAGATAGACATTGTTATAAGACTTTTATTGTCTATGGAAATTAAACCACTGAATGACTTAAATCAACAATTTATATTTTAATAACAATGCAGACACACTATCATCAAATACTTAAGTTTTCAGTATATATAAATTAAGAAAATTCTGGTGAACAAAAAAAAACAAAAATCATACCGACTAATTTTATGTAAGGTTTCATCATTTACCTACCATTCATAGATTCACACTCCCCATTAACAATAAAATATTAAATAATTAATTGCTATCTGCTGCGTTAAGAAAAAAAAAAATCATCACTATGTTGGAACAAATAAAACACCCTCAAATCATATACCAGTAATTTTATAATATCTTTCACCATTAAAGATGCAGTATGTAAGAGCTAAATCTGCCTATTTCAAGTTTGTTTAATGGCATTAAATGTTATATGAATTATTATTTGGACATTTATTTACATGTCTAGGCCAATGGGTTGCTTAGATATTGAATGGATTAGAACAACTTCACCCTTTTATGATTGTGGCAGTTGTACTTAACAATTGAGACTATCTAGTCAAAACTTCCAACACTCATAATTTTGTGTAGAATAAAGTAATTGACTGAAATTTTAAATATATTCATTTCTCATTATCTGTTTTTGAACTATTATAGCAAGTAAGGCCAGCTCTCTATCTGAATCTTACATAATGCATCATTAACTATAAATGCATATATACAATACAGGCACAATTTTTAAAAATATTTTTCTTTCAAATTATCACCCATAGATTCATACACTCCATTAATAATATACTAAATAATTAATACTGTAACAATATATAGATTATCATCCTTTAGCTGCCAAGCAAATGTTAATGCACTGTCAAAATGGTCAATGACATACCGGAATGTTACCATTTTTCTTATCTTTTGACTAGATTAAAATGTATAGGACTTCTCTTCCTTCCCTGCAATAAATTATAATTGATAAAATAACACTTCCCAATTTTCGCTAATAGCCTAATTTCTAGTCTTTGACAATCTAGCAATTCATACCGTTTTCTCTTCCAAGATGTTTAGTTGAGATAGTATGTCGTCAAAGGGGATATCCACACAAATGGATACAATATTGCCATATTCATTAAAACTATAATAAAATGTAAATACTACCTTTCACATCATACCTGCAGGTTTCCAGTTTGGATTGAAGTGTTTTTGTAATGGCTGCCAACACAGATAATAATCTTTATCAACTTTATTCTCATTGGCCCATTTTGTAACAGCCATACTGAATGATGATTCAAACATGAAAGCCTATAATAAAGAATAAATAAAACAAAGAAATGCACAATTATTGCAATATCTCTATCAAAACCAATATTGTACGCCATACAATAATAACACAACTCTAAATCATTAGCACAATGCTGTTTGTTTATAAATGAATGTTATGTCCTTGGTCATAATTTGCCCTGCCAGACAGATATGCAGAGGTGACAGCAATAAAAAGCAAAAGATAGATTATATATAGAAGTAAAATGATTATTTTATACAATAGGAATGCTAGTATACCATAGTTCCACCAGCAATATATTGAGGATTAAGATCAGCATTAGATGCTTTTTCGAAGCAATCTTCATCCGGACCATGTGGTGTCATTATACTATGTAAACTGCCACCACCGGGTTTGAAACCTCCTTCCTACAATAATATTATACATTCCACATATTAGATTACAGACAAACTGTAAGTAGTAAGCATTATCAGACTTCGAAGTTGGTATGAGAATTTACCTAAGTGCAAAGTCGGTATGAGAATTTTCCCAAGTGCAAAGGTTATTATCAGATGTCAATCAACATTTAGAATATTGACCAGATAATTTAGGTTGCCCATGCATGGCAAAATGTAGCAATCATTTATGGAGATCACATATCAAATATATGCTCTTCACAAACACTTTGACAGCGCTCAAATATAAGTCCAAAACACTCCAAATTGACGGAGAACTGTGTCACAGTTTTGCCAGTCCCAAAAACAGATGTAGTGTGAGCAGAATCGTGATGTAATTGAATGTCTCAGCTATGGTGATTGATCAAGATGTTACCATATTCCGTTGTCAACACCTTTCAAACAATTGGGAGAATTCAATTCTGGAATGTTCATTTGAGTATTCCCTAAATATGTGCATAGAAAAGATAATTTTTTACGCTACCTTTGCTTCATATTTGCCTTCAATCAAGCCCATAAACTCACTCATGCAATTTCCTAAGAATAAAAATTAAATGGGTATTCTACGGTGAAATTGTTACCATTTAAAGGTAATTATATATTGGATTGCTGTTTCAATTGAAAATTGGCAAAAAAGAAAGATCTGGTATTGTTTTGCCATGGCTTCATATCAATGAGTTGCATTTGCACAAAAATCTCATGTTCATGACCAATAATATTTTCAACAAGCCAATAGTAAGGCTGATGTCCCCCGCCGAAATCCAAAAATAAATAGATGACACATATTAATTAATAGCACATTTATTTTTTTCAAAAGTATCAAGCAATCAACTATACACTAAGTCTCATCACTCTCTTAGCTCTGCTTAGCTATAGCTCGAAATGTTAATCATTGAACTCCGTCAAGACATTCACCTAATGAACATCTACATAAGTTTAAACATTCTACCTCAATTAAAAGCAGAGTTGTTATGTTCCAAATTCTTGACCAATTAAATTGCTTATCGCTCCTTAGTCTAAGCAGAAAATTCTCATCATTGAACTTAGTCATGGTAATGATATAATGAATCTATACTCCACGTTTCATCAATCTCACTTAATTAAAACTAAATATATCGTGCCCCAAAACACCAACCAATCAGATTGCTTATCTCTGCTTACCATAAGCAGACAATGTTCATCATCATTCGCCTAATGAACGCCTACACCAAGTTTGAACATTCTATTTCTAGCTCAATTAGTAGGAGAGTTATTGTGTTCCAAAGTATCGACCAATCAAATTGCTTATCACTCTGCTTACCCTCAGCAGAAAATGTACGTACATCATTGTACTTAGTCAAGGTATTGATGTAATAAAGCTATACACCAAGTGTTCTCACTCTCACTTAATTGAAACTAAAGTTATCATGTCCCAAAGCATCAACCAATCCAATTGCTTATCTCTGCTTACCCTAAGCAAAAAATTCTCATCTTCGAACTCCATCAAGGCATTCACCTAATAGACACCTACGCCAAGTGTGAACATTCTAGCTCAATTAGAAGGAGAGTAAGTGTGTTACAAAGTCTTGACCAATCAAATTGATTATCGCTCTGCTTACCCTGAGCAGAAAATGCTCATCCTCAAACTCTATCTAGGTATTCACCTAATAAACACCTACACCAAGTTTGAACATTCTAGCTCAACTAGAAAGTCTCGGCCAATCAAATTGCTTATCGCTCTGCTTACCCTGAGCAGAAAATGCTTATTATCGAACTTAGTCAAGGTATTGATGTAATGAAACTATACACCAAATTTTATCACTCTCACTTAAATTGAATTAAAGTTATTGTGTCCCAAAGCATCAACCAATCAAATTGCTTATCTCTGCTTACCCTAAGCAGAAAATGCTCATCTTCAAACTCCATCAAGGCATTGACCTAATAAACACCTATACCAAGTTTGAACATTCTAGCTCAATTAGAAAGAGAGTTATTGTGTCCCAAAAATTGTGACAGACAGACAATCCCATTTTAATAGTCCCCTGCTTTCATCGAAAGGTGGGGACAATAAACAAGACATCCACATGTGAAAATTATCCATGGTAGAGTAACCAAACTAAATAGGAAATGAGCAATGTGGTAAGCCTAAATAAAATTAAAAATTGTTTGGTCAGACATGAATATGATTCATCCTTCAGCAAAGAAACTGATTTTCTTTCTCATCTTTGCCAATTAAAAGCTTTTTACAGACATAGAGCAAGCTTACATATGTTTTTAAATTCTGCTTACTATGATAATATGGAGGTCTGAATGTATGTTCCTGTACTGACCAGCGTGGTGGAAATACAACAAAATCAGCCACGGCCACACCAGGTTTCAACGAAGGACAGGTTAGCACAGTAAATATTGATGGATCCTATAATAAATATACAATCCTTTATACTTCATCACCAGGAACTAATACCGTTTTGTGTATTGTCTCCCTTGATATAAGTTTTTTTACAAAAAAATGTGTATGCAATTATATAACTCAAATCATACAAATGAAATGAAATGAAATGGAGTTTAACGTCCTACTATTCTGCTCCTAACCTGGGCTAATGAAGACGGGCATACGCCATACAGTGTGCTATGAGGGAAATTTTGCACGGACAGCGGCACTACGGCCTACTCTTATATCGAATTCCAACTGCCAAGGGATCTTTTACGTGCTCGCCAATGTGTACACGGGACCTCGGTTTTTCGTCCCATCCGAACGACTAGACAGCTTTCCTTGTCAGCCCCTCCGTCCTGCATCACTGACAAGGGAGAACCACGCCGGAAAATCTGGATGAACTTTCTCGGCCAATGAAGGGATCGAACACCCGACCTCCAGGCTAGCGAGTTAGCGTCTTACCCACTTAGCCACGTGATCCCCTCAAATCATACAGCCAAAAAAGTTTCTTAGATACTGTTTCTGAAACTCTGCATTGTAGATGTATTGCCTTTCTTTTGTTTTATTGTTTGTTTTATTATTTGTCCTATACATTTCTTTTGTTTCCTTATTGGTCAAATAATAAACATCCCATTGACTAGTTTCTATCACTTCAGAAAATCCATTTGCATTGCCAGTTCAATATTCAACACTCTTAATTCTTTATTGTAAAATTTATTGTAATATTTACCATTCCATATAGTCAATAAACTTTGCGTGGATGAAAAGAGAGCCAATGTGATTTTGGCGTCTTTCGTGCCCCCTGCCAAAATCAGAAGAAATGTGAATATTTCTTGCAAACTCCTCAACAGACATTGATCATTTTTCTTTATAATTAAAGCTTAAAGTTCCTCCTCTTATTTTAGCTTTTAATAATGAATATTTTCACAACCTTCAAACTGAGGTCATTATAAGAATGTTCATAAAAAAAATTAGAAACAAAGACTTACTGCATGATCAAATGCCACCGCATTGATAACCATGAATTTCTTCAAATCATATTTGTATGGAGCATAATTTCCATGCCAAGCCACAACATCAAAAGGTGAATGATTCTGAAACAAAGAATTATATGAATACTGGTCATGTATGAAAATTAATTTGTACTTGGTAATGACTGGGGAACACTTGTCAAAATGTTGCTCTTTATCTGAACAAACCAGTGATTGTTTTCCATATACATTATGTGGTGTTTTATTGTTCTCAATCGCTAAATGCCACTCAAGGATTATGGATTATATTGTTTGGTGAGTTTAATTTACTATAATTACCTGTCTGGCTTTGAATAAATGGCCATGATACTTGTTGATGACCTCATATTCTTTCATCTCTCTATCTTCAAACCAAGCTACAGGTGTAAGGAAATCTCTAGGATTAGCTAATCCATTAGCACCTATAAATGGCATATTTATATGAAATAATATAAGTACCACAAAATAATACTAAATTCCTTAATGTAAAAAATATTATACTATTGGTAAAGAACATGACTAACGTAAGAAAATTCCATTGCCCGCCCCTCAAAATATAAGAATGAAAATGGTCATTTAATAAAACAGATGCATGTATTAATTTTTCTTATAACTTTGTCTTGATAGATTAAGTCTTACACGTACACCAGTTATTAATTCAAGTATTTTTGATTTATCGTAGGCTACATGGAATAGTAAAGCCTATGATGAATATAGGATGAAAAATTAGCTGGAATATTACCTATAGGTCCCAGATTAGGTAGTTGAAAATGATCACTAAACACTTCAAGTATATAACCTCGAGTTTCACCTTCAACCATTACATTAAATCGCATACCTCTCTATAATATCAATATAAAATTACATAAAATACTTGAAAAAAGTTACATTACTGAAATTTGAAAAATAAAATAGAGAAAAAAAAGAGATCTGTTTACCTGAATAACACAGATTTCGTTTGGAGCAACCAACATTTTACCAAATTCTGTAGTAATTGATAACATACCTTGTTGAGGTACTGAAATAAAAAATATATCATAGAATAATAATTAATGATGTTTGAAGAATGTAAGATGAAAATAGATATCCATCTACACATTAAGTTGGTTTTCAAAAGTATTTTTCTAAAACAGTTCCTTAAAAGCTGGGGAATTTCATTCCTTGAATGTCACAAAGCATATGAAAAAGAACATTGTTCAAAAAATAAATCAAATTTATTTCTGTAGAAACACAAAAATTACTGAAAGAAGCACTTCTATAATAGATTGAAGGGTTCACAAAGTTTTGTACAGATATATTAAGTGGTTCCTGTGATATTCTCTGGAAGAAGATTTGGCACAGAAGGTCTGGCAGAGCCCATTTCAATATCCCTTCCATACAGCATGGAATAATAATTATGATATATAGGTGGAATGGGCTTAATGTCTCATCAACACCTTATTTAGGTCATTTTGTGGTTGTATAGCATCAATCTGCTTAAAATACAGATCTATATTTCGATGGGTTTTTTTTAATTCTTTCGATGGCCTCAACTACAAGAAGATCTGATCGGTTGTAGGGGAGTGGCTTTTGACCCTGGTGTAGTGAAGACAAGCAAAAACAAAATTTTGAACTATAAAAAACAAAACGAAATAGTATATGTGGTATAGATTGTCATCAGATTGGTATAGAATTTGCCTGGTCAAGAGATTTTTTCACTTTTCTTCCAGTTTCTTTAACATTCACTACCAATTTGTAGTCCTATTTGCCAGTCTTGACTGACTGATAGTGAAATGAATCAGTTGCATAATTAGGTGTCAGTGAATTTTATATGCCATGAAATTAGAATTTCAAAGAATCTAACCTTAAATTTTAAATATATATTCAGTTAAATTTATAGTTTTTTATGTGTGAAAACAGTTGAAAATATAAATATATATATATATATATATATATATATATATAGTGCTACAATTTCTCATATCTGAAGTAAACAGAATATTGCAATATCTAACCAGCTAGCAAAATTTTGAACTGTAAGCCCTGGTATTAACCTGAAAGGATTCATTAACTTAACCTACCTATTAATAAATCTCCATCAGAACTGTAGAAACATCTGTAAATTAGGAATATATATGAATTTGCTGAATACCAATGAAAACTGATTGTTAATAGATATATTTAAATTCATCGAAAGCACCAAAATAAAAGAGAAATATGAAATGTTTAGTATTTCCAGTACAACCACACAAGCTACATTTGTATTTATTATAAATAATAATAATAATAATGGCAAAACTAAGCATGCCACTGGATTAATGTTTGAAAATTGTTGAATATCAATAAGTTTCTTTCTTTCAATAGGTTAGACAAACAGGGAGCCATGATGGTTCAGTTAGTAAGGCAGCACTGGCTCACTAACCATGAGGTGCAAGGTTTGATCTGGGTGTTGGTAGAGAAAGTTCCTTAGGATTTTGCAGCCTGGATTCCCCTTATCAGTTGTGTAGGATGTAGAACTTGGCAACAAACAGCTAAAGCCTAAAATTACTAGCATCCAAAATGATTGTTATAGTTTAATCCACTTACTTATCTCCCATAGAAGTATTACAGGTATATATATAGATTGCTATACCATGTCGTGATTTGGGATCACCTGCTCCACATATAGTTGATAAACCCTGAAAACACACAGACAATCCCATTCTAACCATCATTTTGTTAAAAAGATTAATCAAGTGCATTTTATTGCAATAAAGACTAAAATCTGACTGTACAAAATGTAAATGGGAAAGCAGGCTCACACTTTTGAAGTTTTTCAATCATAGATTTTTTTTAATGAGTTACGGTTATGACATTAAAATCTGAAAAATCACATTCCAAATAAGAAAACACATGTTACATGTATATATAACCACATCTTGGCATAAAAACCATAGTATTCCAATAAGATATTAATACCCATAACCCAAAACAGATAAACAGGTGAGGTAGTATAATGCAATGTATTTACCTGAACAAAATCTACAGATTTTTCAATTGTCTTTGGTATATCAAATGGCTGCCAGCGTAACTGTCAAATAATTTAAATTCATTTACATTAGTGGGTCCTTGATAAAAATATACTCATCAAAAAAGGTAAGGGATATTCAGAAACAATACAAAACTGCGGAAATGCACTGCTTTTTTTATTAGAGGTAACCAGTGTATGTTAATAACAGGCCAATTGCCTACACATGAACATAAACAGTTCATATGGGCGGCTTATCTGATGGCCCCATTTCACTCGCAAAGAGATACACTGTCAAAAGTGAAAATGGACGTTTTTGATTTTTGTCTTAATAATGAGTAATCAGCAATTTGTCGTGGCATGCTCCTAATCAACAGTCCAATCACGATTTGGGGCAATCTGACCCACTCCTCTTGCAGTGCCACGGCCAATTCTTGCAGTGTTGTCGGTTGACGTCGACGAAAACATCTCCTGATCAAATTAAACGTAACACACTAAAGCAAAGATACGCTAAACAGTAAATCTTATGCAACAACCGATAGGAAAGCAAACATGGATAGATAAACCAGCACGCGGCAGTTTTCATCAACTCTTCCTTGAAGTGTCAAATTTGACAATGAACCCCTCCCACGCTTATGGCGCTATTGCGTGTCGCATGTGCAGCTCAGTGGTTCTGTTGGGGCTATAAGTTCTTCATTTGTGAACATATTCTCAAAGCATGTTAAATGTCCATGACTATTTATCATATTGCAACCTGCATAGGTATTTGCATTTCAATATCCCCTAGAGTATAATTATTTCCTAAAATTACAGTATTGAGTATGTGGTATTCAGTCAGTACAGTTCCGCACTCACTAAAGAGTAGGGTGTAAAATACTATATGCTTGTTCTCTAATTACAAAATTGACTTCAATTAGATCACCTAAATTCAAGTCTGATTTCTTGTTTATTTTTAAGAGTAGTGTCTGATATGAAATTGTACTATAAAAGAAACCTGCACAAATTGATTTTATGGCTAAAAGCCCAAATTATATATTTAGACCTTATATTAATCAGAACCTATTCAATTATAACATGATGCACATATATGTAACATTCTACCTACTTGATTAGGATTGGGTTCCACAGCATCCCAATTATGAGTAACATTACCAGAATTAATCTTTGTAAAAGGTTCATGAAGAACTGCTGGTCGAATTCTATATAACCAACTGAAAACCATAAATAACCACTAACACATTTGGCAAATTACCACACATGATACAGAAATCAACAAACAAAAATTAGGCAAACTATAAAATATTTGTAACTGTCACAACCTTAAAAAAAAACAAAAACGACCTGATACCAAGAATAAATAGAAGTATAAGAGGTTTATTCACGTGGCTGAAATGCCAGCATAAACTACATCCTAATACTTCTTTTATGCATGTGCAACACAGATAAAGTCTCTGGTATTTAGCTTAAAAAATACAATAATATTTAAATTGATTTTTCACAAATATGACAAGTTTTAAATAATTTACAGTCTTCACGCACCTACCGAACAACGAACAAATAGTCTGGAGGCTCAGAGCAGGTGAGTGTCCATCAAATGGGCACAAAATCACTTCCAACTTTTCCATAGTAAACTTTCGCGTAGAATATGATGCCAAGTGGTAATCAGTCCGCCGTCGGAGCGTTTTTTGAGATATTTGGGATCAACGGTCAAATGAGTAAATATCAGCGTACAAGATAAAAACTAAAGCGAAACCTGTTCTAATTAATAATTGGAACATTTAAAATTTATCTTTAAGTGGTCTTAACATCGAACTTTTAGTTTGGAATGTCGAAACAGAACGAAACCACTTCGAAAATACTTAAAAACTGTCAAATTAAAATCTCTCTGATTTAGTTTTTATATTGTATGCTGACATTTTATTTCTTTAAATCTTCCTAGTGCAAAAGCAGAAAATTTGACCTTTTGACCTCTCTGGGGGTCACTAAGAACAAAGGTGAATTTAGCAAGTTTACATTTTTATTGAAAGAGTGATTACTTTCGATCATTTTCAGCATATTTTCATGACACAAGAATGGCTGCGCATGCACATTCACTTTCAGTGCAAATGACCTCATTTGACCTTTGACCCAAAATATCTCGAAAATGCCCAAATGGGGAACTGATTACCACTAAGCATCGTATTCTACACAAAATTTTACTATAGAAAAGTTGGGTCTGGTTTTGTACCCGTTTGATCGACAACCCCGCACTTAGCCTCCGGTCTAAAAATATTTCATCGAAAGTGTGTTAACAATTTATATTACATTACAAACCTTCTTTGGTTATCTGTTCGTGGAGCTGTGAATGCTGCACCTGACAACTGTTCTGCATATAAACCATAAGCACATTTTTGGGGATTATTCTATTAAAAATAGAGATTACAGCTAATTTTGAAGTAATAACCCACTTTCAACATCAATTTAAAGATACATTAACGCGTACAAACTTTGTGATTTGATGATATATTTGGACTAAAAACATATTCAAAGTAACCAATCTATCAAAAATTTGCTTCAATTCCCTCTCAAAACTTTGTATTCTTTGGGGATATCTATAGCTATAAGTAAGCTGTTGTTAGATGCAATGTCTGTCAACTTGGCTTCATAGTGGGAGGGTCCATTTTTCAGAATGTATTTATCATTACTTACTGTACATTTACCACACACATTGAGGCCTAAGTAAATTCTTAATTATTTCTGTCAACTTTTTTTTCCGCTGTTTAATTGCAGAGTCTTTTGTACGGTGATACCCTGACAATTTTGCCCAGTGCTTGCCCCATGGGCCTTTTTCGGATAATCCAGTATTTTTCTAGTAAGATTGGGTGTCTATATACCAAATTAGGCATACTTTTATTGGAAATCTCCACCCGATAAATATTCTTCTGGAAAAGTATCTTTAATGAGCACCCCTATCCATTTTGGCCTATAATATAAGCCTGAACAATACTTCCAAGATCAAGTGTTGCATTTATCGACTGGAGAATGTAGTTTCAGCTTTATTCATACACTAATGCTACCTTTGATTGGTGTAATAATGTGGTTCCTGTTTTTCAGCACCTGAGTTGGTTTTATACTGATTGTGGACAAAGCTGCCAAACTTTGCATATTAATCATTTCAAAATCTTTTAATACACTTTTAATTTACCTGCCCCTCTGGTAAAGCTCCAGGACAACGAGGATCTTCACTTGAAAACTCATTCCCAAAACCAGACTGATACTAAAAAACAGACATTGTAATACATATTAAATTCTTAGTAAATATATATTTTGCACATGTAAATAGACATAGTTCAGTCAGATTTTAACACCCAATATTACAAAACAATAACTTCACCAGTTTCTGTAAATTATTGTATATGCAGAACCAGTAGTGTATTTATCTATGGGACTTCCCTTTTCTAATGATTGCATTTTTAATAAAATAAATGAAATGATATGTTTTTGTCACACTTTTCTGCACGATTATTTCAACTCATATCTCCATAAATTATATCGATTTTCGATCAATTACTGTTCTTTAAGCAAAACAGTCATTATCAATTTAAAATCGTAACATAAATATTGTGTCCAAATGTGAGTTAAAAAAATAGAAGATTATACACAAGTTATGTCCCTTCCATACAACGACCAAACAAGCATGAATTATCTGATTTTGATACAAGAAGACTGTTATTTTAAAGTACATATGTTGTATCTAGCTAAAGGAATGGGTGTATATTAAAAAAAACGACTGTATAAATGATTGATTTTGAAATAGGCAGTGGCTATTGTTACGACGAGTCGTAAAAATAGTCCTCAGGCTATTGTTACAACGATGCTTTCAGAGCCCTCCATCGACAAAGTTTAGGAATGGGTTAGGATTTTGTCGATGGGGGGCATACATTGGAGCAAAGGGTAATCATCAGTGCCACATGCATTAGTGGTTTGCATTAGTGATGTGGGCCGAGGGGGGCACGGCCAACTGGATCCGGGCCTGTAGTGAAGTTGAAATCCATTGATTCAGAGGAGTAATAGAAATTGATGGTCGTAACAATAACCAGAGGACTATTTTTATGACTATTCAGTTTTTAACTTCGCCGATGGAGGGCTCTGAAAGCATCGTGGTTTGGGTAGATTTGTGTATTAATATGACTTCAAAACTTGCTTCATAGATAATAATTGAAATCACAACTGTCATAAAGAACGGTATATTATCAAATAACAATATAATTCATTGTGATATGAGTTGGATTTCGGTAGATTATGATTTATGTTGTGCTACTCCATCTGTAAGTTACTCTGTAAGTCTGTAGCTCAGCTGGCTTATTCAATTAGGATAAATAAATGCACACCTTTCATGTCAAGGTCACATTATATAGATGTAAAATCATTGTGTTGGATCAGTAGTTTTAGTTCCCTATGTTTATTAACAATCAAACTTGTCTTGACCAACTGTGTGCTGTAGATGTCAAAGAGACAACATTTTTGTCAGAATTGCTCAGTAAAAAAACTAAAATATTTTTCCTCAAAATCTCACTGCCCTACTTCTTCATTCATGCATGGTCAAGGGCAAAATATAGTTAACCATAAATTGAATAAGGAGTTAGGCTAGTTACTAAAACCATTAATAACATATCCTTCAAACATCAACAAACGATAAAGCTACCTTCAGTTCTGATGACATTATGATGATGTTTGTGCAGTGCAACTTTTTGATGACTGCGTGATCACACGGCACCGTCAGCAGAAGGCCGTACTTTGAATAGTCTCGGTTAACCAGACATTTCGTCTGCTTTGACGTTAGAGTTACAGGCCTTAGAGCACTTTCTGTTAAGGTCACCACATGATGGCCCTTTTTATTGTCAAAGATCTGTGGCTTTTAATTCTTTCGATCTATTTATTTCCTTAAATTTTATTATTTGGGTTATTAATTACATAAACTTGAATTCTGCAGTGGAAAATAATAAAGACGGTTAAAAATTAACAGGTATGTATGTATTGGTAGATATGTACACATATGATGATGAATGAAAGTCCTTACTCCTTGTCAGCTTGTCGTTGATTGTCGTTTCATGTATAAGAATGATCATGGACCTTATAATGTATTATATTTATAAGGTCCATGGAATGATGTTCTCATGTAGGTCCAAATTAAATTCAATTGAAGGAAACCACAACAGTGACAAGAGTCTGTCTTCAGTCTATGTACAGAAATTTAATGCAGCAAAAGGGTGGATCTTGAGGCCCATATCTCCTTACACTGAGTCTATGCCCGTCTTCATTAGCCCAGCATAGGAGCAGAACAGTAGGACGTTAAACCCCATTTCATTTCATTTCATTTCATTTCTGTACTAGCCTCAAGGAAGTGTATATTCTTATTCTATTGGGTACCCGGACCATTCGGCCAAAACACCACTCGGACCATGACCAGTCGGACCAAAAAAAAAGACCAATCAGACCAAAACAGAGACCACTCGGACCAACCATAAAGACTATTCTCGGAGCAACCTAAAAGACTACTCGGACCATTGAACCCTGAAGACCACTCAGTTTACATGTATATTGGAAGACCACTCGGAGCAACCTAAAAGACTACTCGTACCATTGAACCCTCAAGACCACTCGGACCAATCAGTTTACATGTATATTGGAAGACCACTCGGACCAATATTTGTATTTGCCACTCGGACCAACCCAAAGGGCCGCTTCTCAACCATTATGTAGCTTCACTTATTCCTTTAAAAAATAAAATACAGTTTTTAAATAAATATAAATCACAATACAAAAAGGCGAATAATTTATAGGTGAATCTATACATAATTTAAAAATGTGTTCGTTACTAGATGTGAGCTACGGGTAAGTACATAACAGCAAATATTCATATTTATTACATCAACAATTTCTTCAATATTTTTTATTAAAAGTTTTTAATATGCCCGTGATATATGCCCGTTTTTATTAGCCCAGTCTGATGAGTCTAACCTAGTATCGAACCACATTTATTCAAATATATATTTTTTTTTTTAAAGTTTTTAATATGCCCGTGATATATGCCCATTTTTATTGGCCCATCTTTATTCATAACTACTCAGTTATCATTGTTTTGTTAATTGATCATCTTTGATGTGCTTCATTATGATCAAATACCACAGGTAAGTACATAACACTTAAAATTTTCATATTAAAACAAACACAATTTATTAAAACAACAATTTATTATTGGCCCGACTAGTCATTAAAACAAACACAATTTATCAAAACAACAATTTATTATTGGTCCAAGTAGTCATATTAAAACAAACACAATTTACTAAAACAAACACAACTATTTATCTATTAAAACACTTGATCCGAGTAGTCTTTCTGTTTGGTCCGAGTAGTCTTTTTGTTTGGTCCGACGTCCGAGTAGTCCTTTTGTTTGCTTCGAGTGGTCTTTTTGTTTGGTCCAAGTGGTCTTTTTTTGGTCCGAGTGGTCCTTTTGTTTGGTCCGATTGGTCTATCAGTTGGTCCGAGTGGTCGATCAATTGGTCCGAGTGTTCTTTGGTCTGAGTGGTCATGGATTCTTCTATTTACTGTTTGTCGAAAGTTTAAATCTTCTCCGGTAGTTTTACTAGGAACTTCTTTCCTGCTCAACGGTCGCTTGTCAGTCACTGTAAACATAAATGTGTATAGAGCCAGTGTCAGTATCATGAGTATGTGGGGATGCTCGGTTGTCAGTCCAGAACGTTCCGAGTGATGCAGAATTCAGTCCTGTCACAGTTCTGTCAGTCCTGACAAAGGAGGTGGTGTGAGTAGAATCGTGACGTAATTACACCTAAAATGAATATGTTTCAGCTGTCATGGTTGTTTGAGATATTTTCTCATGCAGTCAGCGCATGCATTCTAGTCCAACATCCCATCTTCACTCGATTGTCACTATTTTGGGGTTTGACAGATCTCAATTCTGGAATGTTCAATCGAGCATCCCCTCTGTGACATTGACAATACATATGTCGATAAAAAACGGTAAACTTCTGTCATATAGCTTGGGCTGTGCCATTGCAGTAGACAATGCACAAATTTAAGAATCTTGGCGATAAATGGAACAAAATTTATCGTAGGTAACCAGGGAAATTGCTACCTTTTATAACAGACTAATTTTTTCAAAGATTTTAAAGTTTAACCAGAATAAAGTTCCCAGTAAAATTTACAGGGAATTCAAAGCTTTTGACAAAGAACCAATGGATGGACCGATGGAGTATAAGAAAACCTACATTCAGAGCTGAACTACCCCATATGCAGCTTAATTTGGTCCTAATTTACAATAAAATCTTAAACATACTAAATGCAGGCATATTCTAGTTTGACTGAAAAATAACCAGGAAATTATGATAATTATGATGATTTTAACTTTCAGATGATGTAGAAAATATAACTTTTGAAAGGCTCAGTTTCTAGTCTTCACCTTTTAACAGGATGGAACCTAAATTAGGAACCTTAATTACTAAAAACACCACATATGATATCATGGTGTATGGGTGTTTAGGAACCTATGAAACAGTTGCTTGTATAAGGTACGTCATAAAAACCTAATTAATATTTCAGAATCTTGATAAATATTTATGGGGTTATTAATCTTGCTACACAAATTTTAATCACATTTTTATACACCCACATTGAAATGTGGTCGTATATTGTTGTTGCCCCTGTCCGTCCATCCGGTGTCCACTGTGGATGCTCTAGAGGCTAAAGTTAATATCCGATTGACTTTAAATTTATACACAGTGTTTAACGTCATGAGACAAAGAAGCCTATTGATTTTCAGCGATTTCCGATAATTACTGCCAGAGTTATGGCCCTTGATCACTTCAAAATATCTTGTGGACGTTCTAGAAGCGAAAGTTAATATCCAATTGACTTTAAATTTATACACAGTGTTTAAGGTCATGAGATGAAGAAGCCTACTGATTTTCAGCAATTTCCGATAACTACTATCCGAGTTATGGCCCTTGCTCATTTCAAAATATCTTGTGGATGCTCTAGAGGCTAAATTATGATTCGATTGACTTTAGATTGATAAACAGAGTTTAAGGTCTTGAGACGAACAAGTATATTGATTTTCAATGAATTTTGATAACTTGAACAGCTAAATCCATGATATTAAATGTTTTGTATACTAAACGTTAGCATGGGGCAGAACTTTATAAAAACCAATTAAATTCTAATGATTTTCTGATAATTACTTAAAGTGCACATAAGATGGGCTTGGAAACTTTTGGATATGTGTAGCCAATGGTTACAATATCAACTTTACGGCAAGTTCACACCAATCTGATTGAAATTAATTCAGTTATCTTCACTCAAAGTCGTAAAAATGGACCTCCCGTAAAAACGACTTTGCCAATTATCGAAAACACTCTTAATCCCCTCAGACGCCAGTGACGTCACAGTGACCGAATGCATATTCGGAATGTTTATTCCTTAATTACCTATATACAGCCGGCGTGTGTACTCATTAACGCCTGACTGGTTCCTTAATCCCCCTTAGTTCCTTAATTAAATAAAACAATTGACTACGGAATAATTTGTTTTGTAATTCATTTTAATTTAAGATTCAATTTAGAATTTGTTTCTCATGAAAGCAATTTTAATACCCTCTAACATCGTGTGCAGTCCAATTGATTAGAGATACATTTTCGTCAAAAGAGTATTGTGGTTCTAATTTCCCCGAGTAAAAAAGTACAGGGGTAACAAGATGTGGTCACGCAAATTGTATCATAAAAGTCAAACATGAATGAAAAGCGATTTGTAAATGACGACCCGTTATTTCGTACGGCGGATTTGACTTCATTACTCTGAAATAGACCGTAAAAATGAAATGCGAAAAAATATCTCAACATACAGTACAAATAAATTTTGTTGGTAACCATCTAAATGGAATAACAGACAGATTGAGAAGTGTCATCTAACTATCTTTGTGTATTGATAATAATAGTCGTGTCGTTAACATCAGTCATTAATTAATCAATCCGACTAAACTTATACAGACTTGGGGGTCATTAATTAATTTACATCTCGGTGTTAGCAGTGATTGTTAGTGGGATTAAGAATGCTGATTAGGTAATTATCTTTTTTACGCCGGCCAGATCAAAGGCATCACTCTAGGTGGAATGTGTGCGTAGTACCTACAAATGAACTAATAGTAGAATCGTACACACACATATTTATTGTATAAAATAATTAAGTTTTACTCATCAGTTGTTTATAATTATTATTTAATTTTTCTGTTTTTATAATCAAGTAGCATCACATTATTTGTTGACTGGCGTTCAAACAACATTTAATTGACTTGATATGAAATATTCTTTATAATAAAAGTATTTTACAATTGCATTGACAGTTTAATCACTCACCAAACGGCATCAGGAACTCCGCGTATTTCATATTCATGTCCATATTTCGCGCCAAAGTTTAACCTCAGTAACTACGCCCGTAGTGCATGGAACCGTACATGGCAATAACGTTGATTGGCTGAGAAATGAGGGCGATCTATGCATGCTCATCGGAAAATTCCATATTCGCTGTGAATTTCAAATTGAGTTACGATACAAGTTGTTCTTTGTGTATAGAAATGGTTATTATTATTATTATGTATAGCTAATAATGAATATATCGACAATTGACTAGCATCATTTGTATTTCTGTACTTAAGTTTGGGATATCAAGTATTACTGGGTTATCCAAATTACCTGTAAATGCGCTAATTGCTTGAGTCATCTTCATTTGACACGTGGCCTATTTAAACAAAGGCAGCTTAAATTGATGTACGGCATGATACAGCATTTTAAATTCACTCTAAAATATTCCAATCACAAATGTCTAATCTATACCAATGAAAGACGATAATTCGGTGATTATGATTAGGCCAGTCACGTTGTAATTGGACCGTCTATAGACGCTTGTCCAGTTGCCTTGTGTATTGATAGTGCTATATTGTACAGACAGTGAGATATTGTATAGATAATGTATATCCTATGTGTAGTGCCTGTGACGTCACCAGCCAATCAACCGGATTAAGGTCGTAATTGAAAAATCGAAAAGCATTTTGGCGTGTCGGATACTTAAACGTTAACAGCGGACTTAATTTTAATCAGATTGGTGTGAACTTGCCGTAAAGTTGATATAGTAACCATGGGCAATACGTACATTAAATTTAGATTTTTGATCTTACGTGGTCTTTAATAAGTTGTTACTCTTAATTAGATTTTAGTGTATTATAAATGTTTCATTACCGAAAGAAAGTAAAAATATGTGACAACTCTATTGACTGCCGGGATGATTTAGGTGCTGTGGGCGTATGTTTCGTTGCCCGGCAACCTATCTTTTGACTACATTTTATGAAATTCACCAGAGTTTGTTGTTAAATGATAAAGATGTGCCCTAACTCCTAATTAAAATTTCAGAATTTTGATCTGTTTATGCATGTGTTGTAGATTAGATTATGTATGAACACAAAATATCATCATTTGACTACCCTGGTGGACACGTAATATGACTGTGAGTGTATATTGTGTAGTGTCTAAAAAGTCATTAATTTTGATCGCTTCAAAGAAATGAAAGATATAACTGTAACTATTTTATTTTATTACATTACAGGAATGGTATTTTGTCATCGTTAGCTTTACTTACAGCTCTCTTCTGTATCATTAAAATTATCCGTCTGCACATGGCATGTAACAAGTCTGTTCATCAGTATTTCATCTTCTACTGTGCTTCGCTGGAATGTGTTTTAGGGTAATTTAAATAGGTTTTGATAATTCTTCTGATACAGTAAATCCATATTAGTCATTACTACTACCTGAATGCATTTTCCTAGAATTTATTTCTGATAGTTTAGAAATACCCCACAATCACATGTTAACTATTTTCTTAAATTGTTTTGGCACCAATTTGTAAATGGTATTAATAAACTTCAATCTCGATCCCAGAGATAAGTTTACCCATTTTATACGCCCCCGTCCGTCCGGCGTCCACAATTGCTTGTGGATGCTCTAGAGGCAAAAGTTAATATCCAATTGACTTTAAATTTATATACAGTGTTTAAGGTCATGAGGCGAAGAAGCCTATTGATTTTCAGGGATTTCCAATAATTACTGCCAGAGTTACTGCCAGCTTAGGAACTAGTTTCACGTTGATTAATGGCCGGCAAGTTTTACCAGAGATAAACGAAGGGTAATGTTATCTCTGGGATCAAGATTGAATAAAATTTGCATTATATATTTGTTTATTAATATCATTTGTAAATTTTATTGCAGGAGTATACACTGGCTCATTGGTACAGTAAGCCAGTTAGATTTTGTTCTTCAGTATCTGAAACTAGTGCAGTTTTTAGTTATGTGCCATTATTATTGGACTCTGGCAACTAGAGCTTTAAGAAGAGAGCAACTATCAAAAAGGTATTCAAGATTATTCAAGTATCTGCATTATTTATACCTCTAATTATGGAGAAAAATGTATAATTTAGTAAACAAATAACAACACCTGTTTAAAACCTTTTATTTATATCTATAGATTTATTACGATGACTAGCCTGAAAAAAAACCCAACCCAACAGGATCTGCATAATCCACACTTCATGCCATTGTTATTTTTATAGGTTTCTTTTGCCATTTCTGATTTTGGCATGTACTTATTTTACTGTGATAAGCACGCTTGGAATAATTAACGTACAGTCAACATGGACAGAATGTTTACGTAAGTTATCCAGTTTATTTATTATAAACAATATGATCAAATTATTCAGCTTGAATTTCAGTATAGTTTTCTAAAATTTCCTACTTTTCTGCTCAATCCGGGCAAATGAAGACAGGCATATGCCAAGCAGTGTGCTATGAGGGAAATTTGCCTGGACAGGGCCCTACTGCCTGCACCTCTGACAAGGGGAAACCGTGACGTAATATCGTAAGAAAATTTATCGACTGAGATTGATCCTGGGACCTCGAGGTTAATGGGCTAGCACTTTACACACTGAGCTACCACTTTAAAATAAAAACAAGAATAAAAATATTTTTTATGAAATTTAAGATTTATATGAGCTATTTGTAATTACAGAACCATATTGGTTAGAATTATCAGCAGCTGAGTTTGCTATTGTTCAACTGTTTGCTGTAGCTGGATTTTATATTACAAGACGTCTTAATGAAATAAGTACATTAGATTCTGTACGCTGGTCACAAAAGAGAGATCTATGGTGGTAGGTATTATATATAGATAGAACTCAATGACCATTGAATACCCACTGTACCGCTCAGGTTATTCAATGGTTCAAGAGAGTGTATCCCTGTGCAAGTATACACTCGAGTGAACCATTGAATAACCCGAGCGGTATTCAATGGTCATTTAGTTCTGTTTTTATTCTATAACTACATGTAAATATCAAAATACACTGTACTATCCAGATTATCAAAAACAAAATCACCAATAACGTTAAAATTCATCATAGGTTCCACCTTTTTTCTTTCTTTTTTACAATAATTGAGGTTTTTAGTGTTGACGTCATTACACTTTGACGTAATTCTGAAAGTGATGTCATTCTGGACAAAAGTAGTATGTGTACAAGCCATTGAATACAACCATAGGTTATTCAATGGCTGTATTCAATGATATTTGCTTGTATTTGTAGTTATAGAATAAAATGTATTAAACAACTTGTTGAAGCATGATAAATTCTTTGGAAAACATATTCTGTGTGCTAGAATATCTTCACAACTGTTCAGATTAAACAGTTCTGCAATGTATTCACTGTGAGGACTTTTTCTGCCAACAGCAAGAGCAAACCTGAGACCACCTGTTTAGCAGTATATCTCCCGTAACCATCAGTATGAGAGCAAATGCATGATTTTGAAAACTATTCTTATTCTATACAACTTGTAGTTAAACTGGTATATTAGCATCAAGGTGGAATTTCGGATTGTAAAATCACCATAGCAATTGATGAAGTGATTGCACAGACAGGAGTGGAAAGTCTATATACCTGTTACCTGTTATTGTTGCTTGATGTGACCATGTTACTATAAAACAGTTTTATAGATACAATGAAATTTTTCTGGGATATTCAATGTAAATGACAAATTACTGATTACTAAAATGCTAATTAAAGATGCCTTATGTAAGAGCTAAATCGGCATTTCTTTATTTTGGCTTCAAATGTTATATGAACTATTGTTTAGGCATTTATTAACATAACAAGCTTAATCAACTCTTTAGACTATCGGATGACAGAGATTTAATCGGATTGAAATATGATTGCCATTTAATGATTTAACTAAAAAATGGAGAAGAGTGGCTGTGTCTCAAATGTCCAGTACCATTGCTACAGTAATAAACAATCTGCGCTACATCTTTCAACACCCATAACTTTGCTGAGAATAAAGTAATTTGAATGAAATTTTCAATATTCATCTTACATAATGCATCTTTAATATATTGTAAATTTTTCTTTCAGTATTGTAATTGTGTTTGAGATATCTGCAATGGTTGGTTTCTTGTATGACATTACTCTACAAATTGGTATGATTATTATGTATTTATTGTCCAAGTCAAAAGAAAAACTGGAAAACTGGGTTAAAAGTTACTTAACGTATACTACATAAAACACTTTTTAAGTTGAAAGACACTAAAATTCAAGTAACCCAATAAAATATTTCTCTTTTTTGAATTATACAAATATACTGAGCGCCATGAAAAACGTATCACTTTTTTTTCCCAAATTTTTATTACTAGGTGGTTTTGTATGTATAATATTATGCAATACTATGAACTATTGTTTCACACAATGCTCCCAAACGCAAAAATATCGGCCCGTGTGCCAAAAAAAAATTGCACGAGATGCACATGAAAAACCCAATATTCACGTGCAGCATTGTTTGTGAGCCCTTTAAAAGCATGTTTTCAACTTAATGTGCAGTACATGAACTGTGAAACGTCAATCTGTCGTAATTTGTTGTTGGGCGTGTGAAGGAATCGAGCTAGAGATGCCGAGACTTACTGAAAATCAACGGAATGAAGCCATGGGAATGTCCAGGGCTGGCATGTCTACACGTGCTATTGCCAGACACTTCAATTGTCATCAGTCCACTATTGTAAGGTTGGTGGAACGTGTTCGAGTTACTGGATCAACACGTGACCGTCAACGTCCTGGTCCACAACGCGTTACAACCCAGGCTCAAGACCGCTACATCCGGGTCACTCATCTGCGTGACAGATTCCGCCCAGCGACTCGAACAGGTGCAGCAGTTGTCAGAAGACAAGAACCAGTAAGTGCCAACACCGTAAGACGTCGTCTAAGAAAAGTTGGACTCCGTGCACGACGACCTTATGTTGGAGCTATCCTCAGGGATCATCACCGTCAGCGGCGTTTGATATGGGCTCAAGGACACCAGACATGGAGAAGAGTAGACTGGCAAAGTATGCTCTTCAGTGATGAGAGTCGCTTTCACCTTTATCACGCTGATGGCCGTCAACGTATGTGGAGACGTCTTGGGGAACGTCTTGTAGACTGCTGCGTTTTCAAAACGAATCGATGGGGTGGGGGAAGTGTAATGGTGTAGGGAGGCTTCACATTTCATCACCGGACCGCCCTACACATTTGCAGGGGTCGCATTAATGCTGTAGCCTACCGTGATGATGGCCCCCGGAGGACACACGCGCTACTGACATCTGTGTCGTACTTTTGGTTTTGACCCCTCTGACTTTGTACCCTTGATTACAGATTAAACATCCATAAGTGTACAAATGTGTTGTCATTGATGTGTTCCCATTTGAATATTGTTCACAATAAGAAGCAAAATAAATAACATATGTTTACAGGATCATTTTGTTATACGAAAAACCTAAGTGATGCGTTTTCCATGGCGCTCAGTATAGATCAGGAAAAAACAATGATTGGTCAGTAGAAATTTAAACTAACAAACCAACCAACAGTGAGGCTGATGTCTCCCACCGAAATCCCAAAATAAATAGATGACTCATATTAATTAATCGCACATTTATTTTTTTCAAAAGTATCAAGCAATCAAACTGATTATCACCTAGACACTAAATTACATCACTCTCTATCAGGTAGAATCAAAATTATCTTGTCCCAAAGGATCGACCAATGGAATTGTTTAGCTTTAGCTCAAAATGTTAATCATTTAACTCAATCAAGACATTCACCTAATGAACATCAACATCAAGTTTGAACATTCTACCTCAATTAAAAGCAGAGTTGTTATGTTCCAAAGTCTTGACCAATCGAATTGCTTATCGATCCTTAGCCTAAGCAGAAAATTCTCATCAAACTTAGTCAAGGTAATAACTTTGGTTTTAATTAAGTGAGAGTGATGAAACTCCGAGCATAGATTCATTATATCATTACCTTGACTAAGTTTGATGAGAATTTTCTGCTTAGGCTAAGGATCGATAAGCAATTTGATTGGTCAAGACTTTGGAACACAATAACTCTTCTTCTAATTGAGGTAGAATGTTCAAACTTGGTGTAGGCATTCACTAGGTGAATGCCTTGATCTAGCTTGATGATAAACATTGTCTGCTTACGGTACGCAGAGATAAGTAATCCGATTGGTTGATGCTTTGGGGCACGTTAATTTTAGTTATAATTAAGTGAGAGAGATGAAACTCCGAGTATAGATTCATTACATCATTACCTTGACTAAGTTTGATGATGAGAATTTTCTGCTTAGGCTTTGGAACATAACAACTCTGCTTTTAATTGAGGTAGAATGTTTAAACATGATGTAGATGTTCATTAGGTGAATATCTTGACTGAATTCAATGATTTAACATTTTGATCTAAAGCTATGTAATACCATTTCATGTCACTATGCAAATAAGTCTTACATGAATATCATAATAATTAAGGTGTTTTTTCAACATTCACTTTATGCTCTTTGATGTCCAGAGACATATCTTATGGCTTCACCCATCATCTATGTTTTATGTTTTCATTAATTCCTCTTTAACCCTTTATCCGCTGTTTTTACTATACTATATATGTGCTATCATAATTAATCTTAGCATACTTACTTTGATAACCCAATTAAGCTAGAGTTTCATGATTGCTAACTTGTGGTTTCTCTTATCATTGTTCAATGTACGTATATATAACACTGTCACAATTTTTTCCTCATTTGTAATTTGTATGCTTGATAACAACCAGTGAATTCTTGTCGAAACGTCATGTGTATATAATATAGTGATTGTTATCCATAGAACTGTGTTGTGTTATATTATGTTCAATCGCTAAATGCAATTCAAAGATTATGACCTGGTTTGATCGAATTTTTATAGCAGGGCATTCCTTCGCAATTACAATGTTTGAGGAGGATTTGAAGCAAAACTATGACAAATTAATTAGTTTGAATATGTTTTTAGTCCATATATACCATTAAATCGCCCAGTTTGTATGCGGGAATGTATCTTTAACCAAGTAGAGATCATTTGACAAAATAAAAAAAAGGATTCTCTGAGAACCAGAATATTTATTTTGTATGGCCTAAAAGAGAAAGACAACATTATTTCAAACTAACTACATTTACATAATGTATCTAATTATGACCATATGTGATTAATGCCAAATAGCTTACTATTAAATCTTATTTAAAAATTGATTATTTATGTTATAGTTGGTGATGAAGAAGAAGGCTGTAGTGGTATATTTGTAAGTTGTACTCTATTGAAATTTATGATTTAAATTTGAAGGACACATGCCTGAGAAAAGTAGACAAAATAACTTAATCAAATGATTATGGTTTGATATTCGTGCCATAACAGACACCTGATTGAGTTGTGAAATAATTCCCCCTCTCCCCTAGGTGAAATTTCTGCACTAATTCCCAAAAGCTGTTCATTTCATAATTTCTTAAGACCAGAAGACATCGGACTTGTGGTCAGATCCTCAATAACTGTTCTTTTACAAAATAGTTATTGTTCTGTAATTGCCTGCCTGATATACATTAGAGTTCACTAATTTACTTGATAACCTGGCACTGACAAATCTGGCATTGTTAATTGTTGCCATATTTAAAGATACATGCCCACGATAGTATTTATAGGGTAGTTATTTCCAATAAAAGTATGACAATTTTGGTACACATGGAAAGTAGACACCCAATAAACTAGAAAAATACTGCCCTGAAAACACCCAAGACAAAAATGTAAGGGTGTCCTTCACTGACAGCCTGTCAGCTCGAGTATGTAATGAGTCCTTATGTGCTGATCTAATGACCAACAGTTGTGAGAACATTCAGGGAATTAAAAAGTCCAGTTAACTCTGTGATTAAATGGCAGAAAAAGAAGTTGGCAGAGGATAATCCAAGAATTTACTTTGGTTTAGATATTTACGGTATATGGACAGCGACTAATGACTAATACATGGTAAAAATGGATTCTTCAGCAGTCATGTCACATGAAAAACAAGATTATTTAAAATAGATTGGGCTACTTTCCTTCCAATTATGATGTTTTGAGAGGGATCTGAAGCAAAATTTTGATGGATAGATTAGTTTGAATCTGATTTTAGTCCAAATATCTTTTGCACCTGAGAAGGCATCCTTAATAACCATGTCAACAATCTGGTTAATAAATCAGCAGCTGAGTTGAAGGACATTAAATTTAGATGGCTTTTGGCATAAACTAAATCAAATAATTTAGTCTCCTTTAACACAGTATAATATTCTTTTTACTTACAGTTATATGCCCAGGAATTATACACACCTATATTTGTATCATTTACAGTAAGTTATCCAAACATTTTGTTTCATTGAGAAACAGATAGCAAAATTGAAAATGGTTCAGTAATCTATACTTTTATACAGGGGTCTTCCTTTTGACCTAGTGAACAATACCTGCGAATTTGGGAATAAAACTGTTAAATTAATTATTGCACACAATCTAATCTGTGTTCCCATAAAAAAAATGTAAAACTTTTATCACCATTATCTTGTGTTGTTTTTTTTAACGCCGGGGTTTAAATGACTTAAACAGGATTCATCTTTTCATTATTTTAACACAACATTTTTATATCCTATTGATAACGATAGGAACAGGAATCCTATTATCTCATAAACCCTTAATACTATGTCTATAAAATGGGTCCTTACATGAGATTATTTTGCATGTGTCCATTGTGTGTTTTTTTTAAATAATACATTTATGTTCTTTTTAACAGATATTAAAACTATTATTACCTATATGGGTGATGTTGTATGTATTTCAACCATCTCCAGCTGTTTTAGAATGTGAGGATCTAAGACCTGTAATAAGTGACGATGCTGTAAGTCAAAAAATAAACTTTTTTTTTTGATAAACTTGAACACTTTTTCCCTTTTCTCTTGTGGAATGTTTAGATGTTTAGGTAAATGTAATGTATTCTTGCATAATACCTTCATGTTTTAAAAGTTTATCCCTAATCCATGATTTATTTGATAACCAAAATATACTTTAATCTAGATTTAACCCAAATATTTAATACATTGCACATGTTATAATATTAACCCAAATTGTAATTGTTCATAATAGCACAACTTTATGGATTTACTACTTCTTAGTTTATTACATGCAACGTTTCAATACTCTTACAGGTATCTTTATCAAGCAATGATCAATAATGAATAACAACCTACATTTATAGTACATCCATGAGTAAGACAATAAAAACATAACATTAATTAAGAGTTATAACAAAAGCATTTCCCTTTGAAAATGACTTCACGATCTCTCTTATTAACAGATAAAATATAAAATATTATACCTCTACTTCTAAATGTCATTTAAGGATATTATTACACATGTGTTCTGTTTATTTTAGACCTACACATCCATTTTCAACGAAGATCAAAATTATCGTCAATTATATCATCCAAGTGAAGATTATCATAGTATAGATGATAGAACACCATCTCCTCTACAAGGTGTTTTAAACCCAACAGTAACGACTCGACAACCATCTAATTTACTACCAATAACAGAAGAAACATCTAGTGCTGCATCATCACAAAAAACACCCCAAGATAACTCGGCTCCTAAAGCCCAATTCTTTCTTTAATACAGATTAGCATTTATAGCAAGCTCTATGCAATTAAATTCATTTAATCTTTTTCATTTCATTATTAATTTTTATACCATATTGTTATCCTATTTTTACTATAAGATTTATTTACTTGTGGATTATATTAAGTTTCTGTTATCATTTAGAAGTATATTTATTGTTTAAAATATTGTTGAATCAAATAATCAGATAAGGGGTTTTATACCTAGATGTGAATTTATGATGTCCATCATTTTTATTTTTAAAGCACAAGTCCACTTTTTCCATTTGATTTTAATAAAAGTTACTGTGTGTTTCTATCCAAGAGTTTACAGACCAGTTCTAATTATTATTCAAATTGTTGAGAGTTGATATTATTTTATTGAAAGTTGGTATGAGATCTTTGTTAAGTATGAATTTGAATGTTGATCATCAATTATTCCTTCAGTACTTATTGCCATTGACTAAAAACTTACTTTTTGGATCATTTCGAATTTAAAAGCTATTCTTAAAATTTGAGAAGAATGTTCAGATATTGTACTCAAGTTCAGTTTTTATTCAATTTTAGTGAAACTTTTTATATATAATAAAAGAGTTTCAATGAGTTTAGAATTTTAATTTTCTTGGTGCTATTTGCTCTTGATTTCATTTGTAAGAAAGCTTGTTTTCAAAAATTGCATTTAGCAATTTCTTGTATTTAAATAGTTGTTTTCCCAGTAAACACACTAGCCCTAAATAAACTTACAAATCAGTGCATCTTCTATTGTTCATTTGATTTGTACACATATTTACATTTGACTAAACTAATAATGGTGAAGCTTTAATCTTGTTAACCCGGTATTGATTTTACATTTTTATTTTTTAATGCATTTACCTTTCATAATGATAGAAACATATAAGCATTTATGGAATTTGAAATTACTTAATTTCAATTAAGGAACCATATGTTTCTTATGTGGTTGTATATTAATTGTACTCAGTCAATTTTCATAAAATTTCCTGAAAGTTGATATTGGAGTTAACATGGTCGATATAGAGTTTTAGCATTTTTACAAAATTAGTTCCAGGGTTATGGTCCATAACTTATATGATTATTGATAAACATGCATTACATACTTACTTATTCCACAAAGTTTAATTCTTTACCAATTTTTAGAAATAGTGTTCATTGATTTTGAGCATTTAAGTTATAGCCCCTGACTGATACGCTTGATGATAAAGTATTAGTACATTATTCTGTTCACAGAATTACATACTTTCAGGAATAGTTAGTATAGAACATTTTTGCAAAAGTTATGGCCTCTCATTCTATTGTTGATAAACCTATCAATTACTTTACTCGAACTCATTTAGTCAGTTTGTGCAGCCAAAACTGTACATGGTGCAAACATTCTGCCAACATAGATGTGGTTGGCCTCCGTGGATCTATTTATTAAATATAAATTGGGTCATTTTTGACGAACAGGGAGTATTTTACAGATGGGACAAAAAATAATCTCAGATTGCCCATATCACGGTTATTTCTCAACGGATTTCTCCAGGTTTTCATTTTTGGATTCTTTGGAAGAATCCCATATGGGCTCTGATTTTTTTCAACATTCAAGATGGTGTATCTCCGTCACTATTTGATGTATCAAGTTGAAATTTAGTAGGAATAAGGAACACATCGATGCCTTCAAAATAGCATATTAAGAAATTTTGTGACAGCTTCCAAACAATTCTGGAAATTACTGAGGCCTTCCGATTTTTCTCGAACATGAATAGTTCTCTCCATTTTAAAAAGATGGCCTCTATCAAATTTGAATGTATTTTGAAAATGTAGTTTCAGACCTCTTGCCCATGTGATAGTTTATATATATATATATAAATATATATACTTATATTTAAATTACCGTACCTGTACTCACTCTACAGAGTTATGTTCTCACCCAATTTTCGGTACCAGGTATTGGTCTAAAGATTATTTCTGCATAGTTATTTATTGCCACTGACTTATACTGATTGTTGATTAAATGACATTAACTTATTGCACTCAATGTGGATCATGATCATTATTTATAATACAAGCCTCTTGTAACTTTAAAAGTCTTATTGAAGCTGCTGGTGGGCTAGAAACAAGTCCATGATTCTTCCATTCATACCATGTATAGGTGTCTTAAATGTCTTTAATACAGAATGGAATTTACTGTTTAAAATCAAAATTATGATAGAAAGCAGACCGTTTCAAATTCTTAGCTGATGTGGGATGAGTGTTTTTTTCACCAGAAACTCTTTAATCACAATACATGTAAATGTTATGGAAAAACTATTACATGATGAGTAAAAAAATCAAACCTAAAGCATTGTAAAGTCTGCATTGAATTATACTAATTTCTATTTGAAATGTTATTTATTCATATTTTCTTAACACACTTATCTGGACATTTTAATTTATAATTGTTTGTTATATATATGATATTTTAAACATTTCTTTCAATCAAATTTGTTGACTTCATTCCATATGTGATTAGAATAGTTTGTGATATATGTACATATATGTAGTACAAACATGAAGATGTAAATATTGACAGTACATAAGTTCAAACTATCGTCTACCCCTTTTATGATCTCTCTAATAACTTGCATTAATTAAAGGCATGCTCTGCCTGCAAATCTTACATATTATACTGCCAAACACATGGTGTATCTATATATACATAGATTTATACAATTTATTTTAATACACTGTGATTTCATAATGTAGACTTTTCATTGTATATACACTTCAACCTAACATACCTTGAAGCTGGATCTATTTTGTTCACTCCCTGGTACCGATAAAAATGCTAGGTAACTCCAGAAAAAATTTCACAATTGTTGCAAGTTACAGAGAACCAGTTACGCATTGCCAGTTTGTATGTGCCAACCTATTTTAGCAAGCAGTGATTAATGGAGTAATTTTGGTTTTCTTTTAAATATCATACAATGTAAACCACAGTTCAAATTGTATACATGGTATTTTGTAACTTTGTAAACAAAACTCTAGATATCCCAATATATTTTGTGGTGTTCCGCTCTTAAAGGCAAGAAATGCATACATTCAGCATGACTTAAGGCTATTTGCGTTATTGACCTGGGGTTCACTGGGACAATTATTCTTAATTTATCTTTAGAATTTCTTGAATTATATTTTTACTGAAGTTTTGAAACCTTGTATGACTATGATGGCTATCTAGTCCTTTTTTGTCTTACACTATCTGACATGTATTCTTGGAGCCACACACATATCTATAATATTTTGCTGTGTTAAGGGCAGTTTTTTCAAGTGGTTTATTGCTGAGATTTTTGTTATTTAGGCAAGTCTTCGTTTATTGGTATTTTAAATATGATTCACTACCAAATTATATTCATTTTGAAATTATAATCATGTATTTTTAATGCCAGATTAGTATTTTTTTGTAAAAACAACCTAGAGATCTGAACTATGTGTATATATATTCAGCATTTATAAATGAAATAAATACAGACAGATATATATATGATATAGAGCTTGCTGACTTCACAGCTCAATTTTGTATGTAATCTTATATTATTCCTTAAAATGATTCAGATGTAGGATGTACAACTTCATATATACAGCAATTATTGATCATATCTTACGAAATTACTGTTATAATTTTTTTTTCTATAATTACAGCTTTGTTATAATAAAAGATAAATTAAACAATTGCATTTATAACCTTTTTATATTACAATAGGTACAATAGAAGCATGTCTTAGTTCTATTTCTTAGATGACATTGACAGTCGGTCAAAGTGTACAGTACAAAATAATCCAGTTTCTTGGGAAACAATGTCTGGTGATTTAAATGCTGCCCTTCTTTAATCTGTAAAATTTGATCAAATTTTTAGAAAGCAAAAAAAGTACCCTTATAAATGTTTCAGTTATATTATAGACTAGTATTGATATAGTAGGGTACCATTATGAATGACAATATTAAGAATAGAAATTCAAAACCGTAAAACTCCCAGTTGGCCTTAAATATGAATGAATATAGGCCCAGCTAAAGTTATTCATATCCTGCAATGTATTCATATCCTGTGACTTCGGGCCTCTCAAATCGAGCCCCGCATTTTCTAAAACCGGCTCTGGTTACTAAAATTGTGAGAAGTTCTCCACCATTACCTCGAAAGTATTTATAAGGTAGTTATTTTCAAAAAACAAGCAAACAGTGAGGCTGATGTCCCCCGCCGAAATCCCAAAATAAATAGATGACACATATTAATTCACCTAATGAACATCTACATTAAAATAATAAAGTGTTATGTACTTACCCGTGGTATTTTTTTTATCATGAAGCACATCAAAGAAAATCAGTTAAACACAATCTGATTATAATCTCTGTCAAATAATATATCTCATAAATCGATTAATTTAGGCCAAAACCCTGACCATCAACCTGTGAAATTATCATATCGTCATATTATTAATTAACGAATTATCTATCATTGTATCGTCAAGGGGCGCGTCGAATTACCCAATAACTGCCCAATAACACCAAAATAACAACCAATAACTACAAAATGTTGACTTTGGAAACACAAAATAACAATTTAGTTGAATTTAAGAAGCATCGCTGCTTTAAGTGTCCAAATCGGAGTTTCACGCTCACTACTGTGGGGGATAGTCTTTGTCTGGCAACTGTGTAACGCATGGCTATGGTGAAAGCCTTCAGTCTTGCAAGAAAGTCTAGGTATTATTATTTCCATTCCGCCTATTTCTCAGCAACTATAAGAAATAGAGGTCTGAAGTTTGGTTTTCTCTCGTGAAAATGGGTGGTGGTTAGTGCTTAAATGTAAAACGAAATTTGAACAGATGTTGTTTTCATAGTCTTGTTCTGAAATGTTAACTTTGATTTTTCACTTTTTTCCGCATTTCAGTCAAATCGTAGAGTTCTTATTTTGTTAAAACGACTACTACGATTTTTCTGAAACTTCAGGAATATGAAGTAGAAGGACTAAACTAGTCCTTAAACTACAAAATGACAATCCTCTTATTACCGGAAGTGGTCAAGAAAAGTATCCAAACTTTGACAAAATTCAGAAAAACGAGTGTCTGTGCACAAAATGTGATGTATAAATTGGTTGTTTACCGAGTAGTTTAAAGTACTATATCGTTTGATAGCCAAGTGTATTGTCTACTAGATGGTACTAAAGCGATAAGTTTCTATTACAAATTAAAAAAGTTTTTTACGAATTCGAGCAAGTTTAGACGCCTTTTTCTCGAAAAGTCCACCTAAATTTATTTTTTTTAACTTCTTCTATAGAGAGTCCATACGGTATTCTTTTGTATGTCCCAGGTTTTTTGTCTACATGACATCATCACTTTATACCAGTGAATAAAAAGCACTCCACTGCAACTATTTATAACCAAAATGCCTTTCTTACTTAATAACGAAAAATTGATGTTGTTTATTAGACAATTGTAAATTGATAAATTATCTGCGAAGTTTTAAATACTGTCTAAAACGAAAAACGCTAGAAACTATATATAAGTCATTCATTCTTCGAATTTTCGATTATGCAGATTGTGTATGGAATAATTGTTCTAAAGATAAATCTACACAACTTGAAAAACTTCAACTCGACGCATTGGGTACCTCTCATAATATACTCTATACGGAAACTGGAATCTGCCAGCTTCAATTAAGACCCTATCAACATAAAATGATACTTTTCTACAAAATTTTAAATGGACTAGTTCCTAAATATCTAACCAATATAGTTCCACCTCTTGTATCCGCTGACCATCCCTACCGTCTTCGAAACTCAAACCAAATTAAGCAAATAAACTGTAGAACATTACTGTACCAGAATTCTTTCTTTCCATCTTCTATTAAGCAGTGGAATGATCTAAGTCTTCCAACAAAAAATTCCAAAACTATTTCTGAATTCAAAACTAAATTAAAATCAAGCTTGCACTTATTCAAAACTAATGCCCACTACTATATAGGCGAAAGGCATCTACAGAAAATACACTGTAAACTTCGAAATTCAAAGAGCGATTTAAACCTTCAGAAATGTCTGATGCATATATCGGAAAATCCCTCTTGTTTATGTGGCCAAGGTGTCGAAGACTGCTAACATTATTTCTTACACTGTCCACAATAAAACTCTCAGCGAAAAATAACAATAAATAAATTAGATATAGAACATAAAAATATACAAACAATACTTTCTGGAAACACAGCTATTTCTTTGGAGGACAATTCCTTCATCGTTGAAATTGTACATGACTTTATCAAACTAAATAAACTCTTTAAAACTGCCTAGATCATTCCCCCCCCCCCCCTCCGAAAGCAGGGGTGACCTCATAAAACTTGGCGAATAAATTTTTGGCCTTGGCATCGACATCGTCTTATTGAATATCTACCGTTATAATCTACTTGTAAGTGTATTGTATGTTCTTTCCAAGGGATCTTTACCTTCACCTTCTGCACCCTGTAAAATTTGTAAATCAAACATATCCAGTCATCTATCTTCTCAATGATCATTGTTTATGGAAGCGATTTTACATAAGCAGCAATGCTTGTTATTGTATCCATATATAATATGTTAGATATATCTGTGACTCACTAATGAAATAAAATATTGTTTAAACCAATTGTAAATTAATACTGCCTTTTGACCCTTGCGTAATACTATTCTTTTTTTTCTTTTGCCATTTCGCGTAGTTCTCAGAAACTGTAAGAAGCGATAGATTTTTCCTCATGAAAGTTGTCAACATTTAGCACTTATGAGTTGCAAAAGGTGTGAGCAGCCAGGAAATGATGTAAATCTTTAACGTTCTTGAAAATTGAAAATCTGCTATAATTCTGGTAATTTTCATTCAATTTCTTAGATAGTTACATTTTTGGATAGCCAGAGACATTGCTGAATAGGATAGCAGTTTTAAACTGTCGAATTAAGAAACTTTTGTCGTTATCATTTTTTGGGTGAAAATTGAAAACAGCATATTTTGTTGTCAAAGATGTATTATTTCACGGACTTCAACCGAAGTGAAGTAACTTACCGAAACGAAATTAAGTTAAGTTAAGTTACTGAACTTAACCTTGATTACAAATTATTATTTGAACAATAAACAGGTACCATGAAGTCAACAGTCATTAACATTATCCTGTTTACTTGTTTTCACCAACAGTTTTTCTTTTTATTTATGCTATAAATAATACAAATACACCATGTTAGCACTTAACAAGTACAAACCCTAAACACAAGATATTTAATGTCACTTGATCCATTTACTTCATTTGGAAGTTTTTATGTCACTCAATATTTGCAATTGTGCTAAATTTAAGTTGTCTGATTTCTTCAAATTTTTGTGTGCACAGTTGTCTTGCACTACCTATTAAAACAGTTAATCTCAGCTGTAAGATTTGATCAGACTTTATGTTCAGCATCTTCAGCAGTATATCAATTATTATATCACAGACACAGTAAGTTTTGCTTGGGAGATACCATGGTATTTACTTTCTGAAAATAGAAGATAAACTTCTGTCATAACAACTGAATCTCAAGTTTACATATCAGCTTACTGAGTAGTCATGTCAAATATGTAATTAAAAGGCAAAATATTCTGTTGAACACAAAAAAGCGGTTACTTATGCTGAAGCCATCCTGAATTTAGAATGATACTCATGAGATTCAGTAATTGTTTATAATAAGGCTTTACTAAATGGGGGCTTATGTTGCACTTGTGATCCGATGTGACTGTGCCATTTAGTTTGCAAGAAAAACCGACATAAGTGGTCTTGAAAAAAGCCAGTTGAAACTAGTTGCATGTTCTACTTTCCTAGGATAGATTACAACTAGTTTTGAAGGAATGCTTGAGGGAATTAGCCAATCAGGTTTATTTTGTAGTTTTCCTCAGGTCTCATCACATCATCTGTGTATATAATAGTGGCTGATGACGCTAATGGATATCAAAAGCATATTTGTATTCAAAGAAAGGATAATACCATGAAATAGCAGAAATCTTTGTCAATACCACAAGATATGACACAGTTGGACCTTATCAGACCATTCAGACCACCCCCCATAGTTAGACAATAAAACCTACAGTTGTTGAAGCAAATGGGCCTATACTCTGTCCATATCTTCTGAGAGCTTCTTGAATATCTGAAGGGTGAATAACTTTGTCTCCTTGAGACTCTATATTACTGGTCTGTCCACTCTGTAAAAAACATTATCAGTTTAGGTTAATATTAATAATTACAGTTAAATCTTGGGATCATTTTCTGAATAAACCGAGAAGTTCACTGTGCTGTAATCATTGTGCTTTTACTATAAACATTGCCAGCCAATTTCACATATCTTGCCTTCTCGAGACTGGCCATAACTATTTTAACAGAAAATGTACAAACACTTTATTGTTATGGTTTTGTAAGATGTAATTTGTAATCCATAATTTTTATAGCATGTCAGTTGCTCGACAGGTCAATTTCTCAAATCTCAAAATGGTTACGTCACTGTCGGTCAGTTGAATCGAGACATGCAATTAAAGCACATTTGTTTCATTTTTAAATTTTTTGTTACATCATTAATGCAGGCACTGAATTCGTACATCTGTTTACCTTCCTGCGTTTCTTTGATTTAGATTTGTTAGATGATACAGAAGTTTGATTTGTAAGTAATGGTGGTGCTGCAGTACTGGCTTGTATCGATGGTGTAGATGGTGTTGATGGAGGACTTTGTTGCTATAATAAAAACATCAAACATATCATATTAATTATAACAGAGAAAGTTATCTTAGAATTAGGATGTCACTGACTGTACCGTAAAATAGTCCACTAAACAGATAAAAGACCAAATATAGAACTTACACCTGACGGAGATCCAAGTCCACCCACTGCAGATTTAACAAGATTTTCAGCATCATGATAATTATGACATAGTTGAGGTAAAGTTTTCTGCATTGGATCACTGACAGTTGCTCTCATATCTTGTTTAACTATCAGAGCCAGATCAACTATCTACAAAAATATGTTTTCAGTAATTAAAATGAATATCCTGGGACAATAAAGTTTAATATTAACTGAGCTCACCAATAGTAAACAATCAGTCATCAGATTGACAAACGTTTTATCCTATTTCTCACTGTGGGGTTGGCACTGCAGTGTCACAAATGCAAATCCCAGAGCTTACCTTTTTTAAAGAGTTCCATAAATAAATGAAATAAACAATAATCAACTCAATGTTTTTAAATTAAACAAATAGATTCTCCTGTTCTAAAAACCTACCTCTGCCACAGTTTCATAAGCTAGATAACTTATAACTTCTAATGCATGTGGATTAGGTTTAATATCAACATTGACTCCGGCCATCAACCATTCTTTAAATCTTTGGAATTTGTATTTTCGACCTTAAAAATACAAAGATAAATCATCTACTTTGGATAAGGGGTCTGCAAGAAATGTCATTTTTACTTCTCTATTGTGATGTTTGTAAATGAAAATAGATATGGTAGCTTAATTTCCCGCACTAGACTCTTTTATTCACATCAAAATCTTGGTATTTTAAATCTTTGAGTTAAGTGCAATACATTATATTCATAAAGTGCCAGAACTGGTTTTGAAATTTTATCATAGAAAAAATTCACAGGTTTATTACTGGCAAAAGTCTGTTTCATCTGTATATGCCTGACATTTCAATGTGGGCTTATAAAAAGTAAAATTTCAAATTTAATGTGTAATTTATTATGAATCAAATGATATGTATTTACGGTAAATAAATCTGAACAAATCTTGACTGGTTTGGCCAAAGTGAATTTTGTTTTTTTTGGCCAAATATTGCACAATTTTCTATTTATCATACCTGTGTAAATTGAACTATTTTTGGAAGAAGATTCATTTTAGAGATTCAACTATCACAATATTACAATGTGACGATAAGCAGCTTTAATACCAATGGGCATTAGAAATATTTTCTCTCTTTAAAATTTAAACCACAGCTAAACAAAACTTTCATTTCTGGTAATTAAATACTAATGAGATTTTTCTTTTGTGACCTCTACAGGGTCCACAACCTTCGTATCACATACTTTTACACAATTTGCGTACAAAGAGCAGCCATTTTGTTAGACACTTTCGTTTTGATTTTCCCGAAATTCGAATTCGACCTTTATTATGCTGGAATGGTGATATATTTAAACGGTTTTTAAAATCGGATAAAAAATTGTGACCTCTCAAGAATCCACAAACTAAAAAACACGATTTTTCATACAATCAGGGGCCGTAATCCAGGAAGTTACAGTCTGATATTCACAAACAGCGAAAGGAACCGAGATCTTTGGGACATAAACATATATTTTAAGTTTCATCAAAATCTGATAACAATAGTGACTTCTAAAGGGTCCACAACCTTGGTATGACATACTTTTACACTATTTGCGTAAGGAGCTGCCATTTTGTCAGGCAATTTTGGTCCGATTTTCAAGAAATTGAACTCAACCGTCATTTTGTCAGGCAGTTTTGGTCGAATTTTCACAACATTGGAACATAACTGTCATTAGGGTTATAAATTTCAACGTTTTTTAAAATTGGATAAAAATTGTTACCTCTAGAGGGTCCACAAGCTAAAAACGTGATTTTTTGTACAATCAGGGCCATAATCCAGGAAGTTACACAGTCTGATATGTGCAAATATCAAAAGAAACCATGATCTTTGGATTATAAACATACATTTCAAATTTCATTAAAATTGAATACAAATTTTAACAAACTAAAAATGCGATTTTTTGAACAATCAGGGCCATAATCAAGGAAGTTACTTTCGGATATGCGCTATCATGGAAAGGAACCAAGATCTTTGTGAGATAAACATAATATTCAAATTTCATCAAAACTGAATACAAATTTTAACAAACTAAAAGTGGGATTTTTCGAACAATCAGGGTTACTTTCGGATATGCACGATTATCGAAAGGAACCAAGATCTTTGTGAGATAAACATAAATTTAAAGTTTCATCGAAATCGGATAAAAATTGTGACCTGTAGAGTGTCCACAAACAAATTGTGGACGGATATCCAGACGTACAGGGGCGACGGCATAATGCGGCCACATAAACATTTGGGCGTATAAAAAAGTAAATTCAGCAGCCAAAAGTTTAACGCATGAGTGTAAATTTGCTATAATATAAAAACTGCTGGTAATAAAACTTACTAAATCCAGATTGTCGAGCTTCACAAAACTCTGCATATTGCTTAGTATCTAAATTTCTACTCTGTAGTTCAGCTCTCTAAAACACAATGTAAAATTTGATAAATATTCAAGGTTTAATTCTTTCCAGTGATACTTTAATCTTTATTGAAGTCTCCCATCAATAATAAAAGACATCTGGTATTCAGTAGAAACTTTAGTAAATCAACAATGGCTAACTTTTTAAAACCATTTAAATTGAATTAAACATTCAATCATTATTAATAACATTAGGACAATAAAAGTTATTTTCTTAACATCTGAGACTTTTTTCAACAGATTTTAATTGTAAACATGCCAACAGACAGTAGTCCCCGCCCCAATCCCAAAATAAATGAGAGAGAGGGTTTAAGTCCACTAGACAAAAACTAGGTCATTTCGGGACTAACACATGGTTCAACTTTATTTCTATAATTCGCTTGAGTGTAGGGTCTTTAGCAGTGGGAGGACCCAGAGAAAACCCATGAGGTTGGACAGGCGACCCTACTCCTTGTCACGTACAACCGGGGATTCGAAACCACGCCAGTTGACTCAATGACAGACCTTATGATACAGCACGCACGTGCTAACCATTCCGCCATCCAACACCCCTATATATATATATATATATATATATATATATATATATATATATATATATATATATATATAAACTACTTGCACATTTATAAAGCATCTGGCAATCAAATTGTTTATCATTCTGCAAAACCTGAGCAGGAAATGCTAATTATTGAATTTAGCCAAGGTATTGATATAATCAAACTATACATTAAATCTCATCACTCCTCGCTCAATTAGAAGCAGTCTCCGCCAATCAAATTGCTTATCTCTGCTTAGCTTAAGCAGAAAATTCTCATAACCAAACTCAGCCAAGGCAGTCAGACATCAATTCTATCTCAATTTGAGTTATTGTGTTCCAAAAGGCATGGATAGACAATCAGCTGCTTATTAGCCAAAAAACAAAGTATTCATTCATTCAACTCAGTTAATATATTCACCTCACGAATATCTACAACTAGTTTGAACATTCTACACCAATTAGAACTTACTGTGTCCTAAAGTCTGATAAATGAGATTGCTTATCTCTGCTAAGTCTAAGCATGGACCTTATAAAATGTATTCTAAGGTCCATGGTCTAAGCCAAAATGTCCTTAGACCAGTTGGTGCAGATATGCAGAGCATTAAACTAACTCCATTTTATTTCATTTCATATCCTATCTACATACATAAATAGTACATACTTGTGTTAAAATTAACCATTAAAATAAAATTGATTCTCACCACCATACGTTCATGCTTGATTTCATCAAAACCCTCATCATCAAACAGAGCTATTAGTTCCCCTATAACATAAACATTAACTTTTAACACAAACTAACAACATAATATCATCTCTTTATCAGTCATCTACCAACATGAACCATATACTATTAATTTAGGTAATTAATGTAAGTACAAATACTACTATTGGTTTATAATGAATACCTCTCACAACACTTTACAGATATATATCATTAACTAAACCTTCCTACAATACAAACCCTACCCACAGAATATAATTATTCTTCATCTATAATTTGTTCTTGTGGTAAATGGTGTACAGCTGTAGGCACATCTATTAAGTGCTATAACTGCTATTGTAAAATTGTTAGTTTATGGTTGTTTTATGAATGCTGGAATGTACCTGTTTGATCTATTGATGAAAGAAAATCATAACAAACTTTTCTTCTTTTATACATAGGTACACTACCGGCTGGTGGGGGCTTCTCACCTACAGTATAAATAATTAAATCATTATATTTGAACATGGAGGGGTTTGGGTTGGCCTAATGGTCTAGAGTGTTACGCTTCAAGCTCTAGCTGGCCAGTCATCTCTGGCTTGAGGTTGTGGTTTCGATCCCTGGTGTGAATCTATGTGGCTTGGAGATAGAGGTGCCTTCTCAACCTTGTGGGTTTACTCCAGGTACTCCGGTTTCCTTCAACAATGTAATGTAATGAACATAAAAAAACAAGCCAACAGTGAGGCTGATGTCCCCCGCCGAAATCCCAAAATAAATAGATGGCACATATTAATTAATCGCACATTTATTTTTTTCAAAAGTATCAAGCAATCAAACTGATTATCAACTTTACATTAAATTTCATCACTCTCTATCAGATAGAATCAAAGTTATCTTGTCCCAAAGCATCGACCAATGAAATTGCTTAGCTCAGCTTAGCTTTAGCTCGAAATGTTAATCATTGAACTCAGTCAAGACATTCACCTAATGAACATCTACATCAAGTTTAAACATTCTACCTTAATTAAAAGCAGAGTTGTTACGTTCCAAAGTCTTGACCAATCAAATAGCTTATCGCTTGTTAGCCCTAAGCAGAAAATTCTCATCATCGAACTTATTCAAGGTAATGACATAATGAATCTATACTCAGAGTTTCATCACTCTCACTTAATTATAACCAAAGTTATCGTGCCCCAAAGCATCAACCAATAGATTGCTTAGGCCTGCTTACAGTAAAGAGACAATGTTTATCATCAAACTCCATCAAGGCATTCACCTAATGAATGCCTACACCAAGTTTGAACATCCTACCTCAATTAGAAAGAGAGTTATTGTGTTCCAATGTCTTGACCAATAAAATTGCTCATCGCTCTGCTTACCCTGAGCAGAAAATGCTTATTATCGAACTTAGTCAAGGTATTGATGTAATGAAACTATACACCAAATTTTATCACTCTCACTTAAATTGAATTAAAGTTATCGTGTCCCAAAGCATCAACCAATCAAATTGCTCATCTCTGCTTACCCTAAGCAGAAAATGCTCATCTTCGAACTCCATCAAGGCATTGACCTAATGAACACATACACCAAGTTTGAACATTCTAGCTCAATTAGAAGCTAATTATTGTTACTGGTGAACACTTCCCACTATCAGTAGATTGAGCAAATTAGTGAAATCAGTTTACTAATAAAATTACATTGTGAGCTATAATTTGATGTAATAATTAATCTGAAATAAAAACAAATAAACTACCGATATTTAATCACAGTTTATCAGTTGATATGAATTTTGTTGGACTGTAAATTGTCATGTTAATCAAACTGTTTATAAATATTTATACTATAAAAATGAATTTATTTATTTAATTAGTTAAAGATACATTATGGGAGACAAGATAAAGAGATGGCAGTTCTCGCTATAATAGTTAAAAACTAGATAGTGTAAAGGTAATTTGCTGAAAATTTTATCACTCTCACTTAAATTGAATTAAAGTTATCGTGTCCCAAAGCATCAACCAATCAAATTGCTCATCTCTGCTTACCCTAAGCAGAAAATGCTCATCTTCGAACTCCATCAAGGCATTGACCTAATGAACACATACACCAAGTTTGAACATTCTAGCTCAATTAGAAGGAGAGTTATTGTTTCCCAAAAAGTGTGACGGACGGATGGACGGACGGACAGACAGACGGACGAACCCATTTTTATAGTTCCCTGCTTTCTTCGAAAGGGGAAGGGGGGGGGGGGGGGGGAAGAGGACAAGAAGTCAACTTGTCTGCAATATCACCATTGGTGGAAGCGAACATTAAACACCAATAGAAGAAGAATAGTTAAATATATTTGGTTAGGTAATGCACAAACTCAGAGAGAGAGAGAGAGAGATGAAGTTTAACATCCACTTGACAAAAACTTGGTCATTAGCAGTGGGAGGAAACTGGAGGACCTGGAGAAACTCACGAGGTTGGACAGCCGACCCTACTCCTTTTCACATACAATCGGGGAATCGAAACCACGCCAGTTGACTCAATGACAGACCTTATGATACAGCGCGCACATGCTAACCATTCGGCCATCTAACCCCCCTCCACAAACTCAACTAACATCTATTGCATATTATAAGTAAAGGTTTCAGGGTTGTGGTTTAATTTAACACTTGTGAAATTTTAGTGGATAGATATTGATTTTTTTTTTTGTTCAGAAGTACATACTTCAAGAGTAGTTAGCTACGGTATATCAAACAAGAAAGAGTTGTTCTACTTACTTGCCTCTTGATTTTCTTCCTCCTCAAGTCCAGCTGATCTTAATGCTAAAGCTTTTGTATCTTTAACCTTCATATATCTTAATAACCTTCTTAATTTAATCTATAATTAAGTTCAGATAATTTAATAATCTCAATGACAGATATGTAGCCACACATCCAAGGAATTTACATAATTTGGGTATGTTGATCCAAAGAATGTATCTTATAATCTGCTCTAGCCAGGAGTATATCTTAGTCTGAGGCAGAACAGCGCTTTGGGAAATGTCATACAGAATGCATGACAATAGAGCAGCTTCTGTAATTAGGATTGAACACAAGCTATTGTGCATGCATATATGTCAGCAAAAAATGGTGCGTTCCAAGCTTAAATTCTTATGTGTGGCAGTGGCAGTGTGGAAGAGCTTGATTTTTAATCAGCAGTTTTCACAATTCACACTAAATCTGTGTCTGGATAAATAGATCGAACTCAATGACCATAGAATACCGCTCAGGTTATTCAATGGTTCACAAGAGGGTATCTCTGTGCAAGCATTCCAGCAAATAAGAACAAATTCAATGGTCATTGAGTTCTGTTTTATTCTAATATTTCTATAACTATATGCTAATTAATGAAAACTATTGATGTCTAAGTCCGTATCACACCGTCCTGAAAAGTGATCCGATTATACAACACCCACCAATAAAAAAAAGTTCCCAAAAGATTTTAGTAATTTCCACAAAAAATGTAAATTAATGAAAACTGTTATTTGTAAGACCGTATCACACCGTCCTGAAAAATCATCCAATAAAACATCCACCAATAAAAAAAAAGTTCCCAACTGGGCATTTGTCAGGTTTCTCCTTGTTACTGTACAGGTTTAACCTCACTATCCCCACATTTGATTGTTTTGATAAAGGATTTGGAGGTTATTAGTAATGTAGACCATGGGTGTAGGACTATAGTCTGTTTTAATTAATTAGTATCACTGGTGTAAACTTCTCACTCTAATTATTGTTACTGGTGAACACTTCCCACTATCAGTAGATTGAGCAAATTAGTGAAATCAGTTTACTAATAAATTTACATTGTGAGCTATAATTTGATGTAATAATTAATCTGAAATAAAAACAAATAAACTACTGATATTTAATCACAGCTTATCAGTTGATATGAATTTTGTTGGACTGTAAATTGTCATGTTAATCAAACTGTTTATAAATATTTATACTATAAAAATGAATTTATTTATTTAATTAGTTAAAGATACATTATGGGAGACAAGATAAAGAGATGGCAGTTCTCGCTATAATAGTTAAAAACTAGATAGTGTAAAGGTAATTTGCTGAAAATTTCAGTCAAATTGATCCACTATGAGCCGAGAAAGAAGCGGGTGACATTTATACTATAAAAATGAATTTATTTATTTATTTATTTAATTAGTTAAAGATACATTATGGGAGATAAGATAAAGAGATGGCAGTTCTCGCTATAATAGTTAAAAACTAGATAGTGTAAAGGTAATTTGCTGAAAATTTCAGTCAAATTGATCCACTATGAGCCAAGAAAGACGCGGGTGAAATTTTTGCATACTCTCGGTCATCATTACTAAAATCATTAATATAAACAGCATAGTCTCGATTATCCACTTTTTCTGATTTAATTATTAACGGCCGTTAGCGGCATATAGGAATCTAATCCAGCCAACATCGAAGGCTAGCCTTGACATCAAGAGTTTATTATGGTCTGAATAAGTTAATTAATGCCTAATTGATAATTTAGATAACATTTCAGGCCTAAAGAAAGACTTGTAATAGGCAGATTTTGCTCTTGCATAATGCATGTTTGATATATGTATTTATCTATTTATTTAGTTAATATATGCATATATAATTATTTATTATATATTTGTACTTATTATATATCAAACTGTTTATAAATATTTATACTATAAAAATGTATTTATTTATTTATTTACTATGTTAAAGTGTCACAAACTTGTTACAGACGATACTTTAAATCCCCTTAAACCCCCTTTGTTGGTTAATTAGTCATGGCCGGGTGGACCTAAACAATAGATGTGGGGAAAGTGAGGTGTCCCCACTGTACATACGAGAAATAAAATCTTTCCCCGTTGTCATTCTCACCACTCTGTCTTGTCTTTGTACTCTTTTCTCAGAACTGCACATATTCACCTAGAACAGGATCAGAAAGAAGTTCCAGATCGCTCAACGTTAACTGTGAATGTTGTGATTTCCATGAAAGCAGAATAGCAAATCGTTAAAGTACCAAATTGTATTTAGTAGTGACGGGTGAGTGCAAGCCAAGTTCTCTGATTGCCAAAGTAACTCCTTGTTGTCATCGTTAGCTTCATACCAAACTTAGGCTGTCTGTCTACAGTTAGCTCCGCTTGAGAACAGACACTAAGCTAGCTGACCAACATTTTATGTCCTAAATCAACGATTTTAGTCGGAAGCAAAAAGAATTTTGTTAAGTATTTATTATGCTTCCATTTAATAAAATTGAAAAAGTTTATTTAGTCTTTGTGTGTATGACAGATGTGAAACGGAGTAGAACCGCATTACAAAATTGTATACTAATTTTGGGATATGGTGGCCATTTAGGGCAGAGATCTATTCTTGAAGTACATGTATGAAGTAGATGGATCTATGTGTGCAGAATGCAGTTAGCTTCTGCGCTTTTCTGTTCAGGTTTCCTTTCCCTTTCTTTTTGAGTTTACCTCGCATTGTTGCGAGTACTCCCTTGGACACTTCAAACTCTTTCGATGAGATCAAACTTTTGCTGTAGCCTTTATCACAGAGATAGCGGTCCAATCCCCTGTGGAAGCTGGTCAGTGAGTTCGGCTCATAATCTTTCCCCATCGTCTTTCTTGATGGCCTTGAGGAAATCTCCAATATTATAAATCCAATTCATCGGCAGTAATTTGTTATGTTTTCCTGGATTCACTTCTTGATTCTAAGTATCTATGGAACCTTTTTTCGCAGGTTTCTGTTTTCTGCTTGTATTTACAGACCTGTTCTCTTTTATAAAATTCCGCAGATCAGGTTTAGAGTTTTCATGATTTTGTTCATTGTTTTCTTGCTCCACATGTTCAAATGCCATCAGCATTTCGTCTCCTTTGGAAATATCCATAGTTTCCAATTCTTGGATGTCATTTTCTTCAACTGTAGACAGACTATCCAAAAAATCATCCACAATAACTTCAAAATTAATTTTAGGCTCTGCCATTTTTTTTTACAAAATCGTAGGTTGCCAAGTAGTGACGTCATTCTGGGATAAAGTAGTCCCTGTCGAAGCCATTGAATACAACCATGGCTGTATTCAATGATTTTGCTTGTATTTGAATGTAGTTATAAAATAAAAGAATATATTACATACAAACCTTGTCTTTTCTCATCAAAAACACAATATCTTCTATACCTATAAATCGACTGGTTCTTGTTGAGGCTACTTCTGCTGCTTGTTGAAGCTGCAATAAATACTGGATTTTTGATTTCCATATGTTATGTAAATTTGTTTACTAATCACATGTTTTTCTTTCATTTACATAACTACTGCTACTTAAAGATACATTATCAGAGATTAGATAAAGAACTGGCAGTTCTCACTATAAAAGTTAACCAGCGGCTGCCAGGCAGGATACGTCCACATTTTGCAAGAGATGGATAGAGAACAAGCTAAACAAAAAGTGATTTTTCATAACATCAAGGGTCATAATTCAGGAAGGTACGATCAGATATGGGCAAATATCGACAGGAGTTTCAAGTTTCATTAAAATCGGATCAAAATTGTGACCTCAGTCAAGCGCCATAATTCGGGAAGTTACGATCCGATATGTGCAAATATTGACAGGAACCAAGATCTTTGCGTTATAAATATATATTTCAAGTCTCATCAAAATCGGATCAAAATTGTGAGCTCTAGAGGGTCCACAACCTTGATATACCATATTTTTACACTGATCGCGTACGATGGGCAGCCATTTTGTCCGGCAGTTTTGGTCTGATTTTCACGAAATTCAAACTCTATATTTAAGGTTTTGTCAAAATCGAATAAGTAATTATCAGAAAATCATTAGAATTTGTTTAGTTTTTATAAAGTTCTGCCCCATGCTAACGTTTAGCATATGAAACATTTAAAATCATGGATGTAGCCGATTCATTGAAAATCAATATACTTTCGTCTCAAGAGCTTAAACTCTGTGTATCAATCTGAAGTCAATCAGATGATAACATAAGCCTCTAGAGCGTCACAAGAAATTTCAAAGTGATCAAGGGCCATAACTCTGGCCCTAAATATCGGATATCATTGAAAATCACTAGGCTTCTTCGTCTTATAACCTTAAACACTGTGTATAAATTTAAAGTCAATTGGATATTAACTTAATCCTCTAGAGCATCCACAAGATTTTTTGAGGTGATCAAGGGCCACAACTCTGGCAGTAATTATCGGAAATCGCCGAATATTAATAGGCTTCTTCGTCTCATGACTTTAAACACTGTGTATAAATTTAAAGTCAATCGGATATTAACTTTGGCCTCTGGAGCATCAACAAGCAATTGTGGACGCCGGACCGATGGACATACGGATGGACGGGGGCAATGACAATATAACTTTGGCCTCTGGAGCATCCACAAGCAATTGTGGACGCCGGACCGATGGACGGGGGCAACGACAATATACGACCACATTTCAATGTGGGCGTATAAAAATTGTGACCTGTAGAGCGTCCACAAAGAAAATGTGAACGGACACACAGACGGACGGACGGACGGACAGGGGCGACGACAATATACGTCCACATGAAGATGTGGGCGTATAAAAATTGTGACCTCTATTGGGACCACAAGATTTTTCGATACATGCCAATATCGAAAGGAACCGAGATCTTAGGGAGATAAACCTATATTTTAAGTTTCTTTGAAATCGGATAAAAATTGTGACCTGCAGAGTGTCCACAAACAATCCGGATTTTCGGATGGACAGGGGCGATGACAATATGGGCGTATAAAAACTAGATAATGTAAAGGGAATTTGCTGAAAATTTCAGTCACATTGATCCACTCTGAACCAAGAATTTAGGATTAAATTTTGGGCCTAGCCTCGACCATCATTACTAAAGTAATGAGTGTTGAGCAGGCTAGCGATGACATCGAGAGTTGATTGTTAAGTTAATTAATGTCTAATTAATAATTTAGATAACATTTCGGGCCTAAAGAAAGACCTGCAATTGGCAAATTTAGCTCTTGCATAATGTATGTTTAACTGATATTATGAAGTTGATATTTCAGTAGAAGCCAACATATAACAATTATAACTACTAGCCAGGCAATGAAAAATATGCCACAGCTAAATCGTCAGAGCACTCCACATTTACAAGACAATCAAAACTGACCAAGAGTAACGACCAATGGGGCAATTATCAGATATAAATAAAATTTGATTGGCCTATGTTTAGTTATATGCAGTGCTAATATTTATTATACAAAACATATACCAGTTATATATGTTGTTGGAAATCGCTGAAAATCAATAGGATTTTCATTTCATGAACACTGTGTAAATTTAAGGTCAATTTATTATACAAAACATGTACCAGTAATCAGATGATAACTTTACCTGTTCAATTTATTATACAAAACATGTACCAGTTTACCTGTTCAAGTTATCAGAAATTGTTGAAAATCAATAGATGTTTTCATATTATGCATATAAAAAATTGTGTATAAATTTCAAACGATTTACCACTATTCTTATCAGCGACATTTCCCTTTCAGTTTCTATTGAATAAACCAAGACATGAACTTGAAACCGGAATGTGAATTAAATTTTGAAAAAAATCAAGCACATGTACCTATTTTTCTCTGGTATAGTTTAAATATTCATGCCCTTTCTGTACCTTATTACTCTTTTTTCATTTATGCCCGCCCTTTCCCCGTCAAACCCCATTTCATTTCATTTCATTTTTTGCCCGCCCTTTGATCATTACTCCCTTCTTCTCATATCGCCCAGTTAGGGAAGCTGCTCTAGATCGACCACAAGCGATGGATGTGGGTGATAATAACAGATGACAATATTTCAATGTGGGTGTAGAAAAATGACATACATGTACATACAATATCAGTATTCATTGGATTATGAATGCTGTAGATCGGTTTGATTAATTAAGTCAAAGTGAAATGTAAATATTTCGAAATCTTTCTGTTTTATTAATCTGTTGAACATACCAAACTTAATATTGTTCAATATAATTCACATAAATAAATTGGCACAAAAACCTAGATATATATATATATATATATATATATATATATATATATATATATATATATATATATATATATAAGGGTTGGGAGTAAAGAAAAGTAATCTGAATACTTACAAGATTTGCCATCTGTTTATGAACTAGATCTTGCACCAAAAATGCTGAATCATGAAGTGGCTTTTTACAATCACCAAATCCATGCCTGAAACATATAAATTTACATATTTATCAATCATAGACAAATGGATTCCTGCACTACTTTCAGTTATAGTCACCTATCAGTCAAATAAGAATGAGCTTACATCACTTAATAACAAGCGGCTGCCTGGCAGGATACGCCCACATTTTACAAGAGATGGATAGAGAACAAACTAAAAACAAACAGGATTTTTTGTACAATCAGGGGCAATAATCCAGAAAGTTACGGTCTGAAATGCGCAAATATCAAAAGGGACTGAGATCTTTGGGATATAAAGATATGTTTTAAGTGTTACCAGAATCGGATAAAAATTGTGACCACTAGAGGGTCGACAACCTTCGTATTTTTACACAATTTGCGTACAAAGAGCGGCCATTTTGTTGGGCAGTTTCATTTCGATTTTCCCGAAATTCGAATTCAACCTTCATTATGGTGGAATGGTGAAATATTTAAACGTTTTTTAAAATCGGAAAAACAAATTGTGACCTCTAGAGATTCTGCAAGCTGAAAATGCCATTTTTCGAACAATCAGGGGACATAATCCAGGAAGTTAAGTTCAGGTATCCGTGATTATCAAAAGGATCCAAGATCTTAGTGTGTAATGGTGATATATTCACACAATCATTGTGACCTCTACAGGGACCACAAGCTAAAAACGTGATTTTTTGTTCAATCAAGGGCCATAATTCAGGAAGTTACGATCCGATGTGCGCGAATTTCAAAAGAAACCAAGAACTTTGGGTTATAAACTTACATTTCAAGTTTCATCAAAATCAGAAGAAAATTGTGACCTATAGAGGGTCCACAACATTGATATACCATATTTTTACGCTAATTGTGTATGTGGGGCGGCCATTTGGGCTGATTTTCACGAAATTCAAACTCAACCAAAATTACGGTGCAACAGTGATATGTTTCAACGGTTTTTTGAATCGGATATTATGACCTCTATAGGGTCCACAAGCTAAAAACGAGATTTTTTGTACAATCAGGGGCCATAATACAGGAAGTTACGGTCCGATATGCGCGAATATCGAAAGGAACCAAGATCTTTGGGTTATAAACATGCATTTCAAGTTTTATCAAAATCAAAAGAAAATTGTGACCTCTAGAGGGTCCACAACATTGGTATACCATATTTTTTTACGCTATATGAGTACAAGGAGCGGCCAAGTTTCTTGGAAATCGGATAAAAATTGTGACCTGTAGAGTGTCCACAAACAATTGTGGGTGGACAGGGGCGACGACAATATTCATGTGGACGTATAAAAATATTCAATAACAACAGGATTATTATTTTTTTTTTTAATGAGTTTTTAGTCAGTCAATATCACTTATCAACATACATGATTTTATTCTGGTTTGTTGTAGGTGGACCTCAGGTGGCAGAAATAAAGTTCGAGAAAATACATCTTACTTTTGTTTTTACATTAATTTTCAAGACTTAAAATTATTATGTAAAAGTTATTCATTCAACTATTTTTTTAGTAAATTGCAAGTATATCAGTAAGAGAAAGATGGTTCATCTTATGTTATTTAAGACGATTTATTTCAGATTTGTTTTATTTATTCGGGCATTGTTTTTAATAATGAAGGGAGTAGAAGCTTCATCATTACCATTCAGAATGTAAAGATAGGTTGCCAGGCAATGAAACATACGCCCACAGCAGCTAAATCAACCGGGCAGTCAACAAGAGTTGTCGCCAGTGATGTGATTTTGCCCGTATATTCCGGACTTGTCCGAATCTTTTTTCCAAACGCCCAAAATTGTCCGACCGGGAATATGCCCAATCGGACATCAAGACATGGTGAATAATATTTGCATATTTTTAGTTTTTTTGGTAATGAAACATTTATAATACATGAAAATCTGATTAAGAGTAACAACTCATGAGGTTATTATCAGAAAACCATTAGAATTTGTTTGGTTTTAATAGTTTACGAAACTTTTAATATTATGGATTTAGCTGTTCAAGTCATAAAAATTCATTGAAAATCAATATACTCATTCATCTCAAGATCTTACACTCTGTGTATCAATCTGAAGTCAATCAGATGATAACTTTAGCCTCTAGAGCATCACAAGATTTTTCAAAGTGATCAAGGGCCATAACTCTGGCAGTAATTATCATAAATCGCTGAAAATGAATAGACTTCTTTGTCTTATGACCGTAAACACTGCGTATAAATTTAAAGTCAATCGGATATCAACTTTGGCCTCTGGAGCGTCCACAAGATTTTTGAAGTGATCAAGGGCCATAACTCTGGAAGTAATTATTGAAAATCGCTGAAAATGAATAGACGTCTTTGTCTCATGACCTTAAACACTGTGTATAAATTTAAAGTCAACCGGATATTAACTTTGACCTCTAGAGCGTCCACAAGATTTTTTCAAAGTGATCAAGGGCCATAACTCTGGCAGTAATTATCGGAAATCGCTGAAAATCAATAGGTTTCTTCGTCTCATGACCTTAAACACTGTCTATAAATTTAAAGTCAATTGGATATTAACTTTAGCCTCTAGAGCGTCCACAAGATTTTTTGAGGTGATCAAGGGCCATAACTATGGCAGTAATTATTGGAAACCGCTGAAAATCAATATGCTTCCTCGTCTCATGACCTTAAACACTGTGTATAAATTGTAAGTCAATCGGATATTAACTTTAGCCTCTAGAGCGCGCACAAGATTTTTCAAAGTGATCAAGGACCATAACTCTGGCAGTAATTATCGGAAATTCGCTGAAAATCAATAGGCTTCTTCGTCTCAAGGCCTTAAACATTGTATATAAATTTAAAGTCAATCGGATATTACCTTTAGCCTCTAGATCGTCCAGAAGCAATTGTTGACGCCGGACGGACGGACAGGGGCGACGACAATATACGACCACTTTTCAATGTGGGCGTATAAAAATGAAATAAAATGGAGTTTAACGTCCTACTGTTCTGCTCCGAACTGGGCTAATGAAGATGGGAATACGCCATACAGTGTGCTATGAGGGAAATTTTGCCCGGACAGCGGCACTAAGACCTACTCTTATATTGAATTCCAACTGTCAAGTGATCTTTTACGTGCACAAAAATGTGTACACGGGACCTCAGTTTTTTGTATCATCCGAAGGACTAGACCGCTGTCCTTGTCAGACCCTCCGTCCTGCATCACTGACAAGGGGGGAACCACGCCGGAAAATCTAGATGAACTTTCTCGGCCAATGCAGGGATCCAACACCCGACCTCCAGGCTAGCGAGCCAGCGTCTTACCCACTTAGCCACTGTGACCCCCATTCAGCATGTCTTGGTCACCTTTAAAATTGATTTGTCTATTACCCAAAATAACTGGGAAAAAACATCACGCATGCTAACAGAGTGTCGACAAAACTTAATAATGTGTTTACTTTTAGCATGGGGTCCAAGCTCTGATCAATTCTGAGGTGAAGGTCCGAGTCTTTTTATTCAACTGACGTGTATCCACAGCATGCCAACCGAGTGTGGCCACAACTTGATAAACAAGTGAAATGTGTTTACTTTTAGCATTGCGTCCAAGCTTTGAACTGTTCGAGACAAAGGTCTTGAGTTTTTTTATTCAACTGACAACTGTAAATTCAGACAAATCACGACAACTATCCGTGTGTGAGAGTAATAGCAGAAAACGAAAAAACAAAATGCCTGTTGAAGACCATTTCAAACCCAGGCGTTGAGAAGTCTAAGATACGCACAAACTTTTCAACACGAATCTGATTAAGACTTTGCACACTTGTTCCTTGTGTAAAATAACCCAGAGGACAAATAACAGTCCCACCATTTGTTGAGTAATAATGGAGGTACAAACGGAAAGAAAGATAGGTTGCCAGGCAACAAAACATATGCCCACAGCAGCTAAATCGTCCAGGCAGTCAACAAGAGTTGTCGCATATTTTTACTTTTTTCGTTAATGAAACATTTATAATACATTAAAATCAAATTAAGAGTAACAACTCATTAAGTAATTATCAGAAAATCATTAGAATTTGTTTGGTTTTTATAAAGTTCTGTCCCATGCTAACGTTTAGTATACGAAACTTTTAATATCATGGATTTAGCTGTTCACGTCATAAAAACTCATTGAAAATCAATATACTTGTTTGTCTCAAGACCTTAAACTCTGTGTATCAATCTGAAGTCAATCGGATGATAACTTTAGCCTCTAGAGCATCACAAGATTTTTCAAAGTGATCAAGAGCCATAACTTTGACAGTAATTATTGGAAATCGTTGAAAATCAATATGATTCTTCGTCTCATGACCTCAAACTGTGTATAAATTTAAAGTTAATCGTATATTAACTTTAGCCTCTAGAGCATTTACAAGATTTTTCAAAGTGATCAAGGCAATAACTCTGGCAGTAATTATCGGACATCACTGAAAATCAATAGGCTTCTTCGTCTCATGACCTTAAACACTGTGTGTAAATTTAAAGTCAATCGGATATTAACTTTAGCCTCTAGAGCGTCCACATGATTTTTCAAAGTGATCAAGGGCCATAATTATGGCAGTAATTATCAGAAACCGCTGAAAATCAATAGGCTTCCTTGTCTCATGACCTTAAACACTATGTATAAATTTAAAGTCAATCGGATATTAACTTTAGCCTCTAGAGCGTCCACAAGATTTTTCAAAGTGATCAAGGGTCATAACTCTGTCAGTAATTATCGGAAATCGCTGAAAATCAATAGGCTTCTTTATCTCATGACCTTAAACACTGTGTATAAAATTAAAGTCAATCGGATATTAACTTTGACCTTTAGAGCGTCCACAAGATTTTTTGAAGTGATCAAGGGCCATAACTCTGGCAGTAATTATCAGAAATCTTTTTCTGATGACCTTAAACACTGTGTATAAATTTAAGTCATTTCAATGTGGGCGTATAAAAATGATCAAGGTTAATAATAACTAGCGAATTTATCATTCGAAATCATTTGAATTCTATAGCTTTCTTAGATTCACTATTGAAATCATGCATAAATTTGA